TGATGATGATCATCACTAATATGTATGTCTTTCTGACCTACCCTGTAAAGGATGCTGCTAACTATGGAAGTTTCCAAACATAAAGGACCGTTTTATGTAATCACATTTTCTAATGGCTTGAGTTTTTTTCTCAGATTAGTTCGGCACAGTAGTTAAAAGACCTGGGCTCAAATTTTGGCTTTATCATTTATAATCTATGTGTGTCTAAGCCTCCATTTCTTCATCTATAAAATGAGGAAAATGACTGAACCTAAGAGAATGCATGTAAAGCACATAATCTAATTGAGAGAATACTCAAATACACATTCATAAACAGTTTCAGGTTCTGATACAAAAATAAAAAGGAATTTACTGTAAAATAAGGACAGAAAGAGTAAGTAGCCCTTAGAAAAAGTGATCTAAATGATGGGTAATGTCCCTTTAATTCCTGGCTGTCAATGATTCTTTGATTATGTACAAAGAGAATGAAAAGTGTAACTCAAGCTTTAGTGAACAGAGTTAAAAGAAACTTAAGCTCTGAATCCTAAGCAATTGATTTAAGGTCCAAACACTCACAATAACTGAGTTAACAGCTGACACCATATTCGTAGCAAACAATAAGAATCCCAGGCGCAGTGATGAAACTCAGTTTAGCAACACTGCCAGCGATTACTACCAGTGCCAGGGTGTGATGGAGAACAAACTCAAAACATGTCTGAGATGATAGCACTATTATTTGTTCTATATGATGACAATTATAAAATAAATGTTATAAATCATAAAACAGATCATAACAGAAAGAAAAACTCTGATTTAAGCTATACTAAGCCAATATTCCCCTCTCCAAAGAAAGCACATTAAGATTGCAGTCTGCTTGAATAAACAGGTTGGAAACATTATTAAAAATTCTCCTGGGAATCCAAATATACCTTATCCAACTTAACACTATATTTAAATATCAACTAATATCCTTTGAAATAAAATTCATTAAAAAATAAAAGTAATTTCATCAAAGTCACAATGGGCATATTCAAACACTGGGCAGGTCTGAGTGGGACTTGACATCACACAGAAAAAATTAAGGTGAAAATATGAGCTATGTGTCTCACTAAATTGTCCATGAGGTAACAGTCTTTTGACATCTTCAGAGGCTATGTTTTTAAGTCTCATTTACTCTCATTATTTTCATATGAACCTAGTCCATTATCAGTTATAAAACAAAATTAAATATTTTTACCCTTTTTATGCAAATAATCCTAGACTTAGAGAAAAGTTGTCAGAACACTACAAAGTACATCTTCTTCCTCAATCATTTACTGCCATTATGCCCTCAAAGCCCCAAATATTCTATTGTACATTAGCTACAAACAAGGATGTTTTCCTGAATAATACCAACTGAACTATTAAAGTTTAAAAATTAACACTAAGGGACGGCTACCGTGTAACCCTCAGATCCCTTTCAAGTTTTGCCAACTGGAACATTAATGTCCTCTAGAGCAAAACGGTCCAGTACAGGCTCACACACTGCATTTCTTTAGTCTCCTTCAACCTGGAACAGTTCCCAGTTTTTCCTTGTCTCACAAGATCTTGATGCATTTGAAGATTACAGGCTATTTTGTAGGCTGTGCCTTAATTTAGGTTTGCCTGGTGTACCTTTTCGATTGGACCTGAGTTGTACATCACTGGTAAGAACATCCGAGAAGGGATGCTGGGTTCTTCTCACTGCTCTATAAGGTGCCCACAGGTCTGATTTGACCATTACTGATAATATTAACTTTGACCGCTTGACTAGATGATATTTCCAGGATTCTCCACTGTAAAATTACTTTTCCCCTTTTCAATTATTTTGTGTGGAGTTATTTTGTGTGATTATACAAACATCCCATTCCTCTCACCACTGACTTTATTCATTTATTTATGGATTTGTTTTATTCAATGGGTTACAATTTAAAACTGTCATTATTTATCTTGATGCCCAAATTGTCCTAGTTTGGGCCATCTGGAGCAGCTCTACATCCTATTGACATGTGGCCACCACTCTTCAAGTACTTCCTTACTTTCTAGATTCATCCTATCCTATCTTTTCCTGCTCCAGCTAAGTAATCGGCCATATCCCCAAAGAGTCCTGGTTCCTATATGACTCCTCTTCCCATGAGCCTGCTGAGACCAGAAGAGGTGGGCTCTTCTCTCAGGTCTTTACCTTCCTAACTCTGGCTCCATGGTTTCATTCCACTAGTGAGCACGGTATATTTTCTCCAGAATATGAGAGAACACTGTACTACTTCTTATGTACTCATCTCATAGCACAATCAGTTGGTGAATCTCAAAAGTAAAGTGGTGAAATGATTTCAATTCAAGAAAATTTAAGACTGGCAATAAATGTGATGCATCAAACTTTACCAATCTCTACACTATTCTACCCTGTACAATTTTAAAATTATAGTCAAAACTCTCTTGATTGTCTCCCTTGTCTACATTCTGTTCGCTAACACACTATATTCTAACTGAACATGCTATACTAGACACTTTGATCTGTAATATAGTAGTAACCATTACACTTTAAACGTTTTCTCACTGAAAGTATCCATGACCATATTCCCAAGTGTTAGACTGAAGATAAACAATAAGAAAAGACACTCAATATTCTTTTCAACTAATGGACTAAGTCACGGCTCATCTCCCTTAGTGGGACTGATGAAGTTGAATCACTGGTGAAACATTTGCTTCCAAGGATATTATTTGGTACATTAACATGACCATAATTTTATATGTACAGACGTAGTAAATCATTTTAAGGAGTCATAAGTTTTTTTCGGAAAACCCAGCAGAACATATGACCTGGCTTGACAGTGCACAAATTCTTTCTTTAAAGCATCAAATTGGGAATGGAAAGTAATGGGGTTACACACAAGGCTCTATTACAAAACATGAGAAGAGACACATCATTTTTTTAATCACTTAAAAATGCATATGCTGTTAAAATAGGTTGAAGTACTGCACTGTCTGACAAGGACGTCCTGAGGAACAGAAGAGAGATATATTTGTATACACTGTGACACCCACACAGCTCTTACTGGAACAGTTCTAATTTAGCATGAAATTATGAGCCAGGGACTTCCAAATGGTTTTGAACTAATTCTCCTAACCACCCTGTACAATAACTATTATAGTCGTCATTTTCACAATAGAGCTAGAGTTCTGGAAGATACTCTGCCCAAGATAACACAGCTAATAAATGGCAATTCTGAGTTAAACACAGATCTTCTGTAAGTTAGCACAAACTTAACTATGTTGCCAAAGGAGCATGAAAGTGAAAACAAAAGAAAGGCAACAGAAAGTGGAAATAAAAGTTAAAATACGTTTCACAAAAATGGTTAAAGAAAGAAAAGGAAAAGACGGAAATGAGGAACTCAACTCAGACATGGAGAGAGAAGGAAGACAAGCCGCGGAAGACAGCACGCTGCTCGGGCACAGGGTTACACAGCACAACCACCTGTTTTCTCGCGGACAATCTAGTGAGTAGATTGTAGTGATATAAATTCATCTTGGAAACTGTTTTCAAATTTGAAGAACTTCTTTCTATTCAGCACATACGCTCTTTTAGGTACCAGAAAACTCCTTGGATAATAAATTTAAGTAAACATTGAAAGAAAAAATACTTTGTTTCATGAACGTGAAATAAGGGGAACTTGTATAAGGAAAGCTCAAATAGAAGCACCAACTCCCCATATTTTTACTTTTATTTAATAATATTAATCTTCCACTGACTTCCTTGGGTTTTCAAGGATCTAAGTAAATCTTAACATGCAAGCAAAACATCTTAAAACTAGAAACTTAAAACCATCAGGAAAGAACTAAATACACCCCCCCCCCCAACAACTGACAATGTGAGCAGTAGGTCAGCTGGAACGGGGGTGGAGGGGAGGGGAAAGCCACATTGCCTAGTGTGGGTGAGAAAGCCGGACCAGGTGTAAGAGTGTGTTCACACGGGGGCCGGGGGCCTGGCCCAGAAGTGAGGAGAGTATCTGAGGAGGAAGGCAGTCTGGTGCAAGGTTTGGAGCACAGGCAGGATGAGAAGGCGTCTCCAGAAAAACGCAGTCTGGCTTCAGGGGAGGCGGGAGTCCTTGTATAGGGGGCGGGGAGGGAAGAATGCGAGGGGGAGATGTCTGCACCAAGGGTCAGAGCATGAGCTCACAAAAAGGACTCCATGAAGAAGGGCAACCTGACAGGATGTCAGAGCCCAGATGAGGTGAAAAGGGCACCAACATGGGGCGAGGCAAAGTGGAGGGGGCCTGCAATCAGTGATAAGAGTCTGAGCTGGGTAAAAAGAATGTTTGTTCAATGAAGGGGACAGCGACAGGTTTGGTTACACATCAAAAAAAGTAAATATATTAACAATACCTGAAAGCAGATTTCTCACTGTCAGAAAAAAGAGTTACAAATATGAAAAAAAAGAAAACTAGAACAAATTCTGAATTATTGGATTAAAATGGTAAGTATTGGTGTCAACTTATGGTTTTCACTACAGACATATATATATGACTAGGAATACAGACACAAACATGTGTAGATGTATCTACATATGTACACACACACACACAGTATTTGTAACCCAGCTCTTTACACTGAGAGGGTCTGGGAAGTGTGATATTCTAATAACAATGAGCATATCCAGTTCCTAGCTCTTGATTTCTAAACATCATTCCCCCCAAAAAAGCACAGAGTAAGCATGGAACATCTTGTTTCATGGACAACAGGGGAAATTTGAATGGGGTGTGAAATTAGAGGTAGTAATGTATCAGTGTCAACACCCTGATTTTAATGGTTGCTAGGAGAAAATCCTTGTTTCCAAGAAACACACATTACTTGGAAGTGATAGAGCTTCAAGTCAGCATCTTTCCCTCCAATAGTTCAGGAAGAAAAGTTCTTTGTGTATACTTTTCTGTAAATTTGAGGTTAAATGGGTGAACAAATACACGGAAATGGGGAAGGTTTTGAAAAAGCAGGGAAAAACTACTTACTGAGGTCTTCAGCTAGTTGAACTCGTTTACCAGTAAGCAATTTAACCTTCTTCTCTCCATCTTCAGCGAAATCTTCCAATACTTCCTTAACATTTTTCTCTAATCGCCTGACTGTTCAAAGCAAATGAAAAACCTGAGAAGCACCGTTTTTATGAATGCATAAGGATGTGAAATTAACAACATATGGAGAGTAAGTTCTTATTTTCTCATCACATTTGATCTATTAAATTCAGACTTCTCATAGTTATAAGTAGATACTCAGTACTTTAAAAAAAATTTTTTTTCTTTATTGATTTTTAGAGAGAGGAAGGGAGAGGGAGAGAGAGAGACAGAAACAGTGATGACAGCGAGCATCCACTGGCCACCTCCTACATGCCCCCGACTAGGGATTGGGCCCATAACCTGGGCATGTGCTCTGACTGGGAATCGAACCGGCAACCTCTTGGTGCATGGGTCAATGGTCAACCAGTGAGCCACACCGGCCGGACTTATTCAGTACTTTTAACAACATAAAACTAATATATATTCTCAGAGAATCATACTTTCAAGCCCTAACACTTTAACAGAAGTGTCAATTTCTCAAAAAAAACTAAGTGGTGCTTAGGAGTCCTTTTCTAACAGAATTTTTCTGTAATAAAGCTGGTATGTTTTATTTCCCATCTTTTTCCATTATGATTTATTTTCATTAATATTTTAAGGGCAAATAATAATTTTTGCTTTTTCAAATAAATCTAATGTAAAGGAAGCATTTAGGTATGCTATTAAAAATGGATGTTACCACTATTTTTTTTTATGTCAAAATTAGAAAACAGTCCCTCGATGCTTACCTTCAGTGTTTGTAAGTTGTTGCCGTAAAGTATTCGCGGTGATTGCAAGCATGCGCTGTATTCGCCAAAACAGGACAACATCATTGCACTCCAGCTGAAATATCAGGTAATTAGGATTAGCAGAAGCAAATTTAAACATAAATTTGATTGTAAACACAGACAACTACTGAAGTGAGTACCTACAGCCTAACCTTTAAATAAAAATACTCAGATTTACGAAACGTACACATTCCTATCGTAGATAAAAGCTACTGAATCTTTTCTGCACGGGATCCATCAAATTCTACATGATTTGGGTTCTAGCTACCCCACACCTATATAATTTTGCTTTAATTCCAATAAGAAAGCAAATAAACTTGGGAACTAGGGCATTTCATTACGTTATATATAAGTAGAAATCCATAGCATATTTTGACCCTTAATTTGTATTTAGTTTCACCTCACAACCATGTTAAAATATGTCCTTAGGTTAACCTCTTTTCTTTGAGTGTATATGCAAGAAAGTTTTGAAATTTAGCTGTACATGAAAATAAATTAATGATATTTTTAAAAATAGCTTATTCTGCAGAGGTCTTGTCAGCATTTAAAATTTTTAACTAAAAAAAAAAAGGGCCACTTTTTACATAGGTACATTTAAATGTACATTTATTTTAAGGTGCTGAAAATTCAAAAGGAAAGCATTTAAGGGTCACAAATAAGATCACTGATTAATAGAGCTCTTTTAGAAGGATGCATTAAAAAACACTTCTGCTTGTAAGAAAACGCTCAAAATACATCAGTCTGCTGCCACCTAGAGGTTACTTTGTAAAATATGACATTAAACTATTTACAACTGTCCATTCCAAAAACTTTATACAGTTCTTTAAAAGAATTATTTAAAACAATGTTTTAGTGATACACAGAAAGAATTACAACCTAATATAGAAAACTAGCACAATAAAAATTATTTTTCAATATGATTTCCGCTATGCAATGGATGATTATGTTGTATACACACACACACACAACCTGTACACAAAGAAAAAATATTATTAAAATGTAAATTAAAATTACTTCTAGGTCAAGTGTTATAAGGGACTATTTCCTTTTGCATATTTATCTACATTTATTTGTTGCATTTACTTTCTACAATGGGAGTGTATTATTTTATAACACAAAAAGCTAATTCTAAAAAAAATTTTTTTAAATGGTTTAGTTCCTAGTATATGCACACACAATCTTATAGGCTCTGGGATGAGGTGCATGTAAGATGCAGATACTACCCAAGTGGTAAATATATTTGAAAAGATAGGGATTAGGTTATTCTTTATAAACCACACATTTTTTTCCCAGAAGATCAAAGGACTTAAAATGAATGCTAAAGATAAAGTTAATTTTAAGCATCTAAAAAACTATTGCTAAAAAACTTTCTTCTTGTTTTTGGAAACCATACCTCTGAATCTACAAAATGCCTCTGGTAGTAATAAAAGCCTCTTCGACAAAGGTTACAATGGTTTAGGGCTGTTTTTAAGAAATGTCTTCTATAAACTTGGTGCCAGGTGTCCTTAATCTAAAATGAAAAAAGAAAACAAAAACCAATGTTTTTATACTCTTCAGGTTAACCAAGTACAGGCTGAAAAGTCATACACACAGCTTATTTATAAAAAAGTTAATTAAAACCAATGGCAAAGTTGTTATACTACCAACCTTTTTCATCCATTTAATGTTTTTTCACGACAGAGTTTAGATTTAGATTTACTACTACTCTGTCCCTTCACCAGCTTATGTACTTCAAAAATCACAATGTTTTCAACAAGCATTACTGTTATAGTCAAATAATCATCTTTCAGAGTAGATAAGGTAGGGATTATCTTCCCCTGATTCAAGGCAAAAAGAGGTTGTGAGTGTTGGACAGAGTTAGGACTAGGAAGGTGGTCTCAGACCATCAACACCAACCAACAATACTTCCTGATGATTACATTTCAGTTACCGCATCCATGTGACCACCCACATTACTGCTATACACTCTGTTAGTGTCCAAGGTTCTTTCCTACTACTGTCTTTTTTAAGCATAACAATAATAATATTAAGTAGGTAGAAGAAGTATCACCACCATTTGATAGATGAAAAAAGGGGCTCAGAGAGATTTTATCAATTACTACAGGTAATATTACTAATGAATGAAACTGTACTAGAATTCACATCTCCTGATATGTAGTCTATCTACTATTCCTGTCATAGTATTTTCCTACCTTTTTCATAGCTTCATAAAGTGCATTAAACAAAGTGTCTCCTGGAAAAAAACCTGAGATTTTCTTGCTCACAGAAAGTAATTAAGATATAGCCAATCCAGATCCTAATTACGGACAAAGTCCCTCCCACTGTATTAACCAAGGTGTCAATACTCAGAGCTACATAAAATTCAAAAGTATCCAACTGAATACAACTAATTGTTAAAGAGAAATAGGACAATGTGAGTAAATTAGATCTATATTCGACTAATAATTTCATGTAATCATTAGTCTTAATTTCATTTTTTTGTATATAAAGCTATAAGTATGACAGCTATATCTGTTTTGAATTTCAAATTTCTTTTCTTGTTCTGATCTCTAGTGAAACTTAAAATAAGTATACTCATTTCTCAAAAAAGAAAACATAAATAGCAGATAATTTTTGAAAGAATTTATATGCGGCTCTGAAATTTCTTATATGATTATTTTCTCCACTAGAATTTGTTTCTCGTTGGGTTTCTCTTAAGACAACTTAAACTCATGTTAAAATGAGGTTTCGATCCTTTACACCCTAACTAGGAAATCAGGCCCAAAAACAGTTTCTTGGTTTTTTATTTTTAATTTTCCCCAAATAAGTATCATGAAGGTAAGCAAACTGTAATTATTTTGATCTTCATATTTATCGTGAGGAAAAAGAGAATCCAAAGGCATTTTCCAACAAGAAACAAAGACTAGGGAAGCAAGTTCATGCTTCCGGCATGTCTATTACCAAGCTCGGATCTACTTCTACTCCTCGGGACTCGAGGTTCTTTCGGACTGTCGTTATCTCATCACTTGCGAGATAAGCTGGGTGCTCCTCATTACATTTCAGCATCTTCTCCAATTCATTCTTGGTTTCATTGTGAACACACTTTAAAATGTTGAAAAGAAAACAGTGTTTAGCTGGTTGTGAAGCCGGCACACATGAAACAGCCCATAAATACACTGCAGCTCCACAACAGCTGACAGTCTCGCCAGACAGACAACCACAGAGCCCTGGCTGATGAAGGCAGAGCAGCTTGCAGTGACGACAGGCAAAATAAACAGAAAGAAAGAAAAAAGATTGAGCCCTATTTGTTATATTTTACTTTTGCTGAAATATTTTACTGTTGAAGTTACAGCATCAGGCATCTTACTATGTACTTTCTTTCTTGAGCTTAGAGTGTGATGTTAGTCTGGGAAAAATACTCTGCATCCATGGGAAGACATAATGCTCTATAAATGCCTTATATGTCAGAATCAGATGACTGTAAGGACTTGCACCTCTTGACATGTTTCTTTTCCAATAAATTAAATATAAAATTCACCGTGGGATTTTAAAAAGGTTTTCAATAAAAAAATCATGCTTTAGAGTGCTTCTGTAAGGTGCCTATTATTCTTAAATTCATTTCCAGTCTCTGCACCAAAGGAAAACATATACACATTAGTAATATGTTTGAAAATAAGACTCTTATACAGTGTTGAATTGTTTATCTTTTCATTTTTCTCTTAAAAAAATTATTGATTGATTTATTGTAGAGACAAGGAGAAGGGAGAAAGGGGGAGGGGGGAGAGAGAGAGATATCAATTTGTTATTCCACTTACTTATGCATTTATTGGTTGATTCTTGTATGTGCCCTAATCAGGGATTGAACCCGAAACCTTGGCTTATTGAGACAATGCTCTAACTAACTAAGCTTCTCGGCCAGGGCTTATCTTTTCATTTTTCAACCCTTCTTTCAAAATTGCGTGGTAAAAAAGCTTCAAATTCATGAATTAAACAAGTTACTACCACACTGTACCAAGCTACAGCATCTGAGCATTTATACAAAAATAACACTTAAACACAAAAACTTGGCTTGTAAATAGAACTACTAATTAATAGTCTCTGAAAACATGACATTTTAGAAGAAGTATTATTTAATAAGGAGAAATTGCACTGTTTCCTTAAACATCTGCTATTCGGTCTGAGGTAGGGAGGAAATCTCTAGATACAATATTCCCCAGCTATTTCTGTTCCTGTTCACTTCACCTGTGCCTTTGTCCCCACCTCACTTGGTCTTCAGGACAGCACTCATCTCCCATCTGTCCTGACCAAGATCTGCGTTCGTTCAGCTTAAACAAAGTGAAAACTTTTGGAAAAAGTTAACTCCACAAAAATACAAACGAGTTTTCAGAGCATGGGTTCATCATCTTTAACATAGAACAATCTTAAGTATCTTTTCCTGCTAAATTTGGTCACTCAAAAAAGATAAAGACTTGTAGACAGCTGCCTTAAACTTGCCACATGCGACCTAGAGATATTTCCGACCTCCTCGAGAATCTGTTTCTCACTGTGATTTTCAGGCATGAGGTCTAGAAACAGCAGTTTTCAGCTGGGAGAGGGAGGGTTAGCGAGGTTAGAGGAGAACTTGATGGGAGTCTGACAGAAGGCTTTGTTTTGAAAGAATAAACAAACATGCACAAATATTCTGATGTCCCTCCCCTTGACCCCCTAAATTATAGCCTCTGTTCTAAAGTCCCCCTGAGTCCTACCCATGCTGCCCTGAAACCCTGGGAGGAGAACACTCTTCTCTGAAGGGCTTCCATATTCCTCTTCTACGCTGCAGATCCTTGCACTGACCTTAAAACTAATTCCTCTGCTCCTCCTGAAGGGATCCCCTGTGGGTCACGTTCTTGAGAAAAATAACTTACAACCAAGACTCACTTCTTTTTGAGAGTGTTTGGCCAAAGCATATTTACCACAAGTTGTGGAGGCAAGTTTTGTCACCATTAATGGTTCTGGAGACTCTAGTCTGGGCCTATCTCACTAGGACCTGAAGGTCAGACACTGTTTTTCTTTGGTGTTTATTTGCCTTACATCAGTTTCTCCCAATCAATGCCTCTTCTGCCTCAAAGTAAAAAACCGCTGATGGGTCCCCTAGTTCTTTAGATGACTGATGCACCCTGAGTACAGGCATCATCCAGCCACGCACTCTGACCACTTCTTTAGCTTCTCTTCAGTCTGGTAATGACTCCTTTCCCCACAAAAATCATATCAGGAAAAAGAGAAGAGGATACTGTTCCGTCACTATGTTAAGACAAATAGGGACTCACAACTGAGAGACAGCTTACAAAACAAGAAATGCATGAAATTAGGAAAAACAGGATGTTGATTATATAATTACCTCTGTATTTAAAATAAAAACAAAACAAATAAATAAAGAAACAGGAATAATGTGCAATTTGGTAAATTTTCATTCTCTTCAGCTCCTCTGTCAATATTTCCGTATCTTTATCTCCCTTCTCTAATTACATGGATTCAGGAAGAAAGTGGGTTAGACGTCACCTCTTTTTCTGCCTTGCTACTTCCTTCATTTACATATTCTAATTCTATACTCTAGTTACCCTCTTCTATTTAAGGAATGAATAAGAATGAGATATGGGGTAAGACTGAATACTAGATAGAAAAAAGGAGTCACAACAATAAGGAAAGGATTAAAAGGGTGGGGGTGGGGGCTTAATAATTTACACGTTTTCCCTTTTTTACTTATTTGTAAAGTTATTTATACTTGCCTTTCCCATTCTGTTCTTCCGAAGTGCTCATCAAAGGTAAATATATAAATGAATTCTATAATTCTGTTTCCTTTCTAAATTTTTATACTTATTTTATGAGCATAGAAGCAAAAAACGTAAAAGAATATAATTTGAATAGACAACAACAACAAAAAAAATCCAGAGATTATATAATAGAATAAGGTTTTAAAAAGTCACTACATTTTATTCTTATCATAGTCATTCTACATCCTCTGAAATCCTTGTCATTCTTTTCCTTTTTTCATAACAGGGAACAGAAATGAACAAAGTAATCAACCACAGAAGGGGCATGTTTCATTCTCCCCTTTCTTTTAATAACACAGTTACTTCACTTAAGACAACTTCCATTCATAGTTTACTGGTTATTCTAAAGATTTTATAATTTAGGAAGGCTGACATAAACATCTGAAATGATAAAGACTGATCTAGAGGAATGCACAGGTTATATTTTACTGCTTGAATTAAAATGAACAAAATTATATCACCATAAGAGCAGAGATTTATTTGTTTTTACCTGTTCTTGGGTCCGATTCTTCCAGTATAACCATCTCTTTTTCCAATCTGGACCCACCATGTTTTCAATTGCAGTTTCAGCTAAAAAAATTTTTTTTAATTTTTTTAATTCATCATGAATTTTATCACTTACCAAGTACATAAATTATAACAAATAATATTCTTGCTCCCTTAACTACTTCAAAGTGATAGATCAATATAAAGTTAGTTGAAATGAAGAAAAAATTATGATTGATAAGGTGCATATATAAAAAAGAATTTAATTATATCTTTACAACCTAAGAAAAATACAGTTGCTTGTCAAGTTCTCATAAGTGCAGTAGGAAACACTAGTTTGAATGTAGCTTTTCAGATTATCAGTACTGTAAACATGTGTCTAATTTATTTAATATTTTTAGTAGGTACTAAGCAATTGACTATAAAACCCTACAAATTATATTCAACTACAATATTAATAACAAAGACCTTGAAATATTAATCATTATTATTTTTTTACAAATGTTCTTTAAAGTTGGGTGATTCCTTCACCCTGGGGAATACTCAAAACTGAATAGCCTGTGTCCCTACTCACTGTCCTTGAGACGAGCCTGAAGAGCCTCTTCCATGAAATAGATAGCTGCATCCCACTGCTGTTTATCAGATATGGACCGGTCTTCTAAAGCATTGTGTTGAATGACCCTCTGAAATAACAAGAAAAACAGCTCACATGATTTACGTCTTATCATTTAGTAATTTTATTCAAAATGACAGCTTAGCAAATATCCAAAATAACAGATGTTAAAACAACATAAAAGCACATCCCTTCCACACAGATGCGGAAATTCAGGCAGTCCTATTACCTGCCTTTTGGCCAGCTTTCTGTCTGAAAAACAAACAGTGGAGACTTTCTCCTAGCCCCAATGAAATGAGCTGACCATCTCTAAGATCATTTTGAGGGGAAGAGGGTGTGCATATTACACATTTAACTACATAAAATCCAATACCTAGAACCTCATTTTCAGGAGTTAATGATTCCGATAATCTCTACCTCTCCTTTGTGTCATATGTATGAACTATGTGTGAGTATTTTCATAAAAGAGAAGTGAAAAAAATAATAACCATTATCTCACTGGTAACAGCAATGAAAAATGTAATGTTGGGAAGCTTAAAAGGTCTAAATAACCATAAGTAAATGTTATTTATTATAAGAAAATTAGTTTTCAAATTTTGTAACTGTTAAATGAATGAAAACGGCACACTCTTAGAAGGCCAGTCTTTACAAGGCGGCTGACGAGAATAAATACGGTTTTCAAATACAAAGGCAAATATTTCTTCTGAAAAATTATAATTACAGACAGATATGCAATTTCCTAGAAAACTGCTTCATCTTCTTTCAACAGTGCCTCTCAAAACTGTGTGAGCAGAGCAGGTGCTTAGTAAGGTTTGATTATGGTGATGAGAATGTTCTACATAACAAAGGATTTATCAGGAGGTGGAGTCAGGAGCCAGGCTTCATAATTAGACAGAATTGGGCTTAGAGCCCAGCTTTGCCAATGACAATTATAGGACTGTGTAAGAACTAAATAGGCCTAGAAATTGACTATATTTTTGTGGGAGAATGGGTGAAAAGGGCAGTTGCCTGTTGCTGCCCAAAGGTCTGAACAATCTGAAGTAGCTCGTGGCTGGAAAACAACTTCTGTGAGGCAAACCGGCACCTACAAACGGCTCTGGGACACACCAGAACACACGGTGACCGTGACTTCTGAAGGAGGCGCCACGTCTGAAGTGCAGAAGGGTCTGACCAGTTAGGGCCAGATGCAGCCAAGAAGAAACCTAAAGCAGCAGCAGAAATTCAGCAGAATCAGCCATCTGATCCAGAGAACGAAAAAGAGGCCCAATCGTCTCCTCCAGAAGCAGCAGAAGGGTCCGTTTGGGAGGAGGGCATTCCTTGATTCACACCCCTGTGTAGTGGCCAAAGACAAGGAGACAGAAAGAGCCTACCCAAGCTGTTATGGAAGAGCAGGTTTCAGACAAAGGAAGTTCTTCCTAAGAAGAAAGGTAGGCCAGGGTGATGCTGAAGAAACAGCTCAGAGGAAAAAACAGGTCTTTAAAGTTGACGTCAAGGAAGAAAAACCTTCAGTGAGCAGTCCTGAGATAGCCTGCTGAAGAAGGAAGGAAGGAGAGAGAGGAGGAGAAGGGAAAGGAAATGCAAGAAGAGAAATCAGAAGCAGCAGCAAAAGGGGAGACGAAGTCAGTATAGACAAATAATCTAAAAGCAGAGAAGGCCGCTCAAGTACAGTTGAGATCTGGAGAAACATGGTAAGGGAGACACGTGTTATTTGACAAAGTGTGTGAATATCTCAACCTCTTGAAGAAGGACTACTTTGGACTTTCATTTCAGGAAAGCACTGAGCAGAAAAACTAACTAGACCCCACAAAACAAATAAACAATTACAAAGTCTTCCCTGGCTATTCGCTTTTAATGTGAAGTTTTAGTCTCCTGATCCCTTTCATTTGACTGAAGATATCACCAGCCTGTGCCTTCAACTGGGCCAGCACATTGCCTCCGGCTGCCTGGCCTGCTCTTTTGGGACTCATGCCCTCCTGGGACTTTATACACTACAGTGAACTTAGAGACTCTGACCCAGAAGGGCATGCCAGTCATGACCTCAGTGACTTCCAGTTTGCCCCCTCCTAGACGAAGGAGTTGGAAGAGAAGATGATGAAGCTGCATAAAACCCATGGGAGCTTATTTCCAGCACAAGCTGATTCTTAGAAAGTGCAGAGAGGCTTTCCATGTATGGCGTTGGCCTACATCATGCCAAGGACTCCAAAGGCATGGACATCAAGCTTGGCGTGCATGCTAGTGGGCTCCTTGTTTACAAAGACAGAGAGAGAACCAATCATTTTGCTTGGCCAAAAATCCTGATCCTATAAGTACAATAACTTCTACATTAAAGTTAGGCCAGCAGAGCTGGAATGGTTGAGAGCCCACTGGATTGAAACTGCTGAACCACTGGGTCACAAAAGGCTGTGGAAAGTGTGTGTGGATATTATACTTTTTATAGACTTGTGTCTCCAAAGCAGCCACCAAAGTCCAAGTTCCTGACCTTGGGGTCCAGATTCTGCTACAATGACTGCACCCAAGCCCAGACCTGACAGGCAAGCACCCTCAGTGACAGGCCAGAGCACATCTAGAAAGCGGGTCTCCAGGATTCCAGATGGAGCTCTGATTGGTGTTGTGGACCAAGTCTTATGAAGCATTTTCCTGGCTCTGCTGGGGAGGTTCTAGCACATGGCCGTGGAGTTATCAGCACTGCCACGGTCCAGAATGGGGATGGCAGAAGGGACATTAGAAGCCTCACTAAAGCCCCACATGTGCCACTCACTGAAGGAAAGAGTTCACACGAGACTCTGAATGCAGTGGAGGCGAAGAAGCAGGCAGAGGTTGGGAAAGATGAACAAGTAACCACAGAAGAGATGCATGGTAAAGATATCACCTGGGAGTAGTCCTAGGGCACTGGTTCTCAACTTGTGGGTCGCGACCTGTTTGGGGGTCAAACGATCCTTTCACAGGGGTCTCCTAAGACCATCAGAAAACACGTATTTCTGATGGCGATTCATAACAGTAGCAAAATTACAGTTATTAAGTAGCAACAAAAATAATCTTATGGTTGGGGGTCACCACAACATGAAGAACTGTATTCAAGGGTCGTGGCATTAGGAAGGTTGAGAACCACTGCCCTAGGGAGATCTGTGAGGTGGAGCCTCTGACACACAGAGCAGCAGCAGCAGTGGTGAGAGCGAGGAGGAAGATGTGGGAGAGTGCCAGTCCCACCACCGAGTGATGGAGGGCACCACAAAGGAAGAACGAGAGTCTGGAAGAAGAAGCCGGCCAAGTTGCCCAGGCAGTAGAGTGGGAGGAACCAGTGCCAGAAGCCAGCACAGGCAAACAAGTGGGGGCCAGTGTAAGCGCAGCAAAAACAGTGACCCAGGAACATGCAGTTGCCCTAAGACATCTGCAGAGAAGAGTATACACAAAGGTGCTGTTAAGCAAGATGTGAGCAGACACAGAGGACGAGCAATATAAAGTTAATGGAGAAGTGTTTCATGTTAACATTGATGTTTTGCTACAAATTATTTGTTATTCAGAGCCCCCCCGTAGTAAAGACAGAGATGGTAACAATTCCTTATGTTTCACAAAGGATAGACGTCTCCACCAAGGAAGTCCCTTTTGTCCAAACCGAGACCAATACTATCACATACAAGTCTCCACAGATTGATGGCAGGGCTGCTGGTGACTCGGGCATGTTACTGACAGCACAAACCATCACATCTGATTCTGCGTTGACAACCACCACCACACTCATCACCAAGACTATAAAAGGTCGACTATTTGAAACAAGAACTAAGAAACGCATCGTGATCCAGGAGATGCAGATAGTGATCATGACCGGCCTAGGCCATCAGGGAAGCCAGAGAGCCGCACCCCGGCGTGTGCAAAGAAACTGAACTGGAGGAAGAAGAAGAGTAAACTAAGAAATCCATTTATAAACTTGAATAATTTTGCAATTTCAAGTCCTACTGCCACACCACTACTCCAGTAAATTTATACTATGACTGGTAACAATGACCAGAAGCCTGAAGCATTAAAATACCAACACCAAACCTTACCTTAACAGCTCTGGGCTACACTGTTCTCTCACATTTTAATATATATTTTATTTTATAACCACTTCTAAATATTCTTGGTTCTTTCCTTTCCTTTTTTTTTTTTTTTTTTTTAAATTAGTTTTGTTTTGCTTCCTGTTTGCCTTGTGTACAAATTTCTGCTTTTTATGACTCAATTGATCCAATGACAGTGAACAAAGCCAGGCCAGCAGGTAAGGTGCTGTCCACTGAGACAGGTGCTATTGTGAGAAAGGAAACTGACTGATTTGGATAATGGCTTTCCTTCTTCCAGATTCTTCCCATTGAATTCCCACTAAATTACAGAATTTTCAGATTGCAGTAAATATACAGTATGAGAAATAATTAATATGGACTGAAAGCATTCCTATATCTTAAAAATTTCCTAATGATTAATAAATTCATTGAGGATATTTTTTATATTGAACCCTTTGACATTCCAGACTGGAGAATTATGAAGTTTGTTGACCATGTGTTGTGGGTGGAGACCCCACCAGACCTCAGTGCCAGTGCTCCTTAGACACACGCTCTTCGGCAGCATTCGAGAAATAGGAGGGAGGAGAAAGAGAAATGATCTCTTCCCTTCTTCTAAAATATTCAGGCAGCTTAAAACTTTAGTGCTGTCTTTCTTAACATGTCCAAATTTCAGTCCTTTCCACTGTTTGAACATTTGTGTAGAACATACTTTGTATTAAACCTCTTTGTCTCCATGTGTAACTGACCTTTTGTTACTGAGCAGCAGGTCTGTCTCTTTCGGATAGCTTGATTCACACAGGTTTGAGGGCACCAGGGAGGGGAGCTGGTGGCTATGGCGGTTTTTTGATGGGTATAAGTAAGCTAGACCATTTAGAGCTGACACCAGAGATCTGACAGGGACTTACTTATTAACTGCACTGAACATTTTTTTCCTTCACTTTTGACCCTATTAGTGTAGTTATGATGCCAGATTAGATTTATAGCAGTTTCAAGTTGTATTATTTTGCTTTCTGCAACATCGTTATAAAATGAAGTTGGTTAATTCTCTAAAAAAAAAGAACTAAAAAAATGCCTACAAAATACACAGCAGAGTTTCTGGCACCTTCTAAGCATTAGTAGTTAGCATTATGATTTTAGGAGTCTAACATTTTATGACTTAAATCCACTGAAAATCAACATCTAATTCCTTCGATCACCACAGTGAGTAAAATGAGAAGCAGCTACCCTCTTTTAGTTCAGACAAATAAACAACAATTTGTTGAAGTTTACAGAAGCCTGTTTACTGAGAAGTTTGATTTTTTTCTGAAATAATAGCCAAGAAAAAAACAGAAGGGCAGAGAAATATCAAAGGGTCAATTAAAAGAGCATAAATCTATTTCTTTCCTTCATTATTTTAAATTCAGAATCTAGTCATATAAAAATAGCTTCCTAAAAAAGTATGAATTTAGAAACTATATAAATATACGAGGCTGACAACCTAATACACAAATGACATACCAAACTGTCCTCTGCAAAATCATTCCACTTGTGGCGTTTAATACTTTCTTCCTTAACCGCCTCTTTAAGTTTATCAAATATGTCATCATGCTCTTTTCCTTTTGGTTCTGTCATGAAGCGGGAAAATTCTTCTTGTAGGGTCTCCCAAGCAACCTAGAATTATTTAGAAGAAAAAAATGTATACTACATACTTTTATTTAATGCATAACATGAAAAACACACATGAATTTAAGTCTAATAGTTGTGATAAACCAGCTTATCAGAAAATACATATGAACCACACTAAACAACTCAGCAAATATAAACTCTGGCCTGGAGTTCTTAGGCTGGTGGCTGGGTGGCTGGCAGGACAGATCTGAACTGCCACGTGTGTTGCTAGACATACACAGAGTTTCACATGTTTAAAATTAGTACCCAACATTTAAAAATCGAGAGCCTTCACATAGAAATTTGCATTTCCAGCCTCTCTGAAACTATTTGGTAAGACTAGACCCACCTTCTCTCATAACACCACCTGCCCGAGCTGGGCAGCGCTGCCCCGGTTAGCTGAGGTGTGTACCCCAGCCAGCTACCAGGCTTACTTCCCTCATTGCATTCATACAACACCTGAGTTTGCCTGTTTCTTCCACACTGCAGAAGTTTAAAATTTCTTAATGATTTAGTCTTCTTCACATTTTTGCCTTTAGGCAAATACTTGAAGCAACACATCAATACTTTCAAACATAGCTGAGTGTTACTCAGCCTTGTATCATAGCTAACTCCTAATTACATGGCTAGTGAAAGGAAGAGCAGTATCAGAAGTAATTAACAACTAAATCTACTTAAAGTTAAGGTAAGCTAGGTAATATTATTTTATATTTAGCCCTCTTCATTGCAAACATTAAGAAATTATGGCATAAAGAGAGGTGACTATTCAAGAATACACTGTGAGGTATTAAAATAGATAATTCCTGACCTCCAGCAGGTCCACATCTTTCTACCACACCTAGGTGGCGAAGGGGCAAAGCAGCAGGAGACAGAATCATTGCCATTTCTATGACCATTTCCTCTGCTTGGACCGTAGGATATAAAAATATTCTATTGTGCCCTGGCCGGTTTGGCTCAGCGGTTAGAGCGTCCGCCTGCGGTCCGGAGAGACCCGGGTTCGGTTCCCGCTAAGGGCATGTGCCTCGGTTGCAGTCTGTACCCGGCCCTGGTTGGTCGTGCGGGTGGCGACCACTCGATGTGTCCCTTTCACATCGATGTTTCCCTCTCTCTCTCTTCCTCTCTCTCCCTCCCACTCTGTCTGTACAAAAAATGGAAAAATGTCCTCGGATGAGGATTAAAAAAAAAAATTCTATCGTGAGACAGGGGCCAGAAAAATGTCGGGGCCAGAGTGAGGAGAGCTAGTGAAGTGGTGGCAGCATCACTAATCACTTTAGGGGTAAATGTGTGGAAAACTGACCAGTGGTCAGGGACATGCAGCTCAGGTGGTACCACTACAAAAGTTCTTAGAAAAGGAGGCTTAATAAAATTGAGAACAGAGGTGAAGTTAGGACTGGAACAGGATAGGAAAAGGGTGAAACATACCTGAATAATCAGAAACTGACATTTTGTTTCTAAGGTAGGTATGAAAAACAAAATTATTTTTAATACTGATTCTAATTTCCTGAGCATCCTCACACAGAAGCACTGGCGCACTGACTCTTAGCCAGAACATGCTTCAGAGTAATATGCATGGCTGATCTCCTTGGATGAGGGTCATTATCATCGTAATAGCAGCTGGCATTTACTGAACAATTACTATGGGCCAGATATTGTATAAGTATTCTACATACATCAACTCATTTACTCCTTATAAGAATCTATGAGGTAGGCAACATGACCACCCGTTTTATAGATGAGGAGTCAGAACCCTTAAGCAACAAGCCCAAGGAGCACACAGCTACTAAATGGTAGGGCCAAGATATGTGGGTAACAGAAATGCATTCTTTAAGGCACTTGCTTATAATTTGCAGTCTAACCTTCTGGCAAGAGCCAAACTAAGGAAATGATTCTTTAAGTATAATTGAGCCTTGCAAAAAATCAATATGTGAAATGTTTTATCCATTAAACATTTTCCTTATGGAATCTTTATCCACAGAAGAAGTTAAAAATATTTCACATTCAAGAAAATTTTGGTGATTAAATGATACTTTTGGAAAAAACCAAAAACAAAAAACAATACCCTCAGATCAACACCATACCAATTAGTCAAGTTTGATAAAGTAGTGACTGGTAGCAGCATTAAACTTAATCCCAACACAGAGATGAGGAATAAAGAATAGATGGAATATAAGGACAAAAAGAAAGATAGTGGCAGTGATGGGAATAAAGTCTAAAATCCACAGCTCCTACTCCCTTCAGATAATGCTTCTTACCCATTTAATTAAATTATATCCTAACCTCTACTGCTTTATTAGGAAGCTGTTTATCAGTCCACTGTTTAAGCTTGATATCCACTGTGGTATTAAAAGTTCCTGAATTCATGGTCTGTGCAGCTGGAAGATAGATGTTTTCAATCACATGAGTAGACACTCTTTCCCACAAAGATTGCTGAAGGATTTCCTCCCTGAAATTTAAAAATGAATAAGTTTCAAGAACACCAAATCTAAATATAATATTAAGTTACAATAAACTGCACATATTAAAAGTGTTGACATATGTATACACCTGTGCATTACCACAATCAAGATAATGAACATATCAATCATCCTCAAAAGTTATAACCACTGGATCTGCTTTCTGTCACCACAGATTAGTTTATAATTTCCAGAATTTTATATAAATGCAATCATACAGGATGTACTCTTATTTTGTCTTTATTCACTCAGCATAATTATTTTGAGATTTAACTATGGTATGCATATCAGTATTTCACTCCTTTTTATTGCTTAGTATTCCATTACATTAATCTGTTTATCTGTTCACCTGCAGGTGGTCATTTGGGTTGTTGTTAGTTTTTGTCCATTACACATAAAGCTGCTATGAGCAGTCTTGTACAAGTCTCTGTATGGAAAGAAGCTTTTGCTCCTCTTGGGCAAAGAATCTAAAAGTGCTGGTCATATGGTAATCATATATTTAACTTTTTAAGATACTGATAAACTGTTTTCCAAACTGGGTGCACCATTTACATTCCCACCAGCAAAATATGAGAGCTCTAGATGCTCTACATCTTGCCAACACTTGGTGTGGTTAATTCTTTTTTTCATTATTATTAATTTATTTTTGTTACAGATGTTTCTCTTTTTTCCCCATTGACACCCTCCTCCCCATCCCCAGCTTTGTTGTCCATGTCCATTGGTTATGCATACATGCATATAAGTTCTATGGTTTATCTCCCCCCACCCCACATCTTCTGAGGGTTATCAGTTTGTACCCTACTTCCACGTCTCTGGGTCTATCCTGTTCCTCAGACTGTTATGTTCATTATATTCCACAAATAAGTGAGATCATGTGATTTTTGTTTTTCTTTGCTTGGCTTGTTTTGCTTAGGATAATACTTTCAAGGTCTCTCCATGTCATCTCAAAGGATAAAGGATCTTTCTTTTTTACAGCTGCATAGTACTCCATTGTGTATATTGTACCACTGGCTTTTTATCCATTCGTCTAATGATGGACACTTGGGCTGTTTCCAGATCTTAGCTATTGTAAATAGTGCTGCTACAAACATGGGGGTACATATATTCTTTCTGATTGGTGTTTCAGGCTTCTTAGGGTATATTCCTAAAAGTGGGATCACTGGGTCAATTCAATTTTTAATTTTTTGAGGTAACACCATAGTGTTTTCCACAGTGGCTGCACTAGTCTGCATTCCCACCAGCAGCGTACTAGAGTCCCCTTTTCTCCACACCCTCCACACCTTGATGATTTGTTGATAGCGGCCCTTCTGACAGGTGTGAGGTGATATCTCAATGTTGTTTTAATTTGCATCTCTCTGATGATTAGTGATGTTGACAATTTCTTCATATGTCTCTTAGCCATTTGTATGTCCTATTTGGAGAGGTGTCTATTTAGTTCCTCTGCCCATTTTTAAATTAGGTTCTTTGTCTTCCTTTTGTTGAGTTGTATGAGCACTCTATATATTTTGGAAATTAACCCCTTATCTGATGTACCATTGGCAATTATGCTTTCCCATACAGTGGGTTGCCTTTCCATTTTGATCGTTATTTCTTTTGCTGTGCAGAAGCTTTTTAGTTTGATGTAGTCCCATGTGTTCATTTTTTCCTGTTGCCTTAGGTGATGTATCAGTGAAAATTCTGCTGCATATGATGTCCAAAATTTTGTTGCCTACATTTTCTTCTAAAATTTTTATGGATTCACAAGTCACATTTAAGTCTTTTATCCATTTTGACTTTATTCTTGTGTATGGTGAAAGGTGATGATCTAGCTTCATTTTTTTTGCATGTAGCTGTCCAATTTTCCCAACACCATTTATTAAAGAGGCTCTCTTTACTCCATTGTATGCTCTTGCCTCCTTTGTAAAATATTAATTGAGCATAATGTCTTGGGTCAATTTCTGGGTTCTCTGTTCTGTTCCACTGGTCTATATGCCTGTTCTTGTGTTAGTACCAGGCTGTTTTGATTACAGTAGCTTTGTAGTATAACCTGATATCTGGTAATATGATCCCACCTACTTAGTCCTTCTTTTTTAAGACTGCTGTGGCTATTCGAGGTCTTTTTTGGTTCCATATGAACTTTTGAAGTATTTGTTCTAGTTCTGTGAAATATGTCATTGGTATTTTGATGGGGATTGCACTGAATCTATAGATTGCTATGGGTAGTATGGACATTTTAATGATGTTAATTCTTCCAATCCATGAACAAGGTATGTGCTTCCACTTTTTTATATCTTCCTCTATTTCTTTTTTTTCAATGACCTGTAGTTTTCTGCAAATAGGTCCTTTACTTCTTTGTTAAGTTTATTCCTAGGTATCTTAATTTTTTTGCCACGAAGGTAAATGAGACTGTTTTTTTAGTTTCTCTTTCTGTGAGTTCATCATTGATGTATAAGAATGTCATCAATTTTTTGACATTAACTTTATATCCTGCTACTGTGCCAAATTAATTTTTTAAGTCTAGTGGATTTTTGATGGAGTCTTTAGGGTTCTATATGTATCATATCATGTCATCTGCAAATAATGACAGTTTCACTTCCTCCTTTCCAATTTGGATCCCTTTTAGTTTTTCTTCATGTCTGATTGTTGTGGCTAAGACATCCAGTACTATGTTAAACAAGAGTGGTGAAAGTGGGCATCCTGTCTTGTGCTTGTTCTTAAGAAAAATGCTTTTAGTTTTTTCTCACTGAATATGATGTTGGCTGTAGGTCTTTCATATATGGCCTTTTCTATGTCGAGATATGATCCCTCTATTCCCACATTGCTGAGTGTTTTTATCAGAAATTGGTGCTGGATATTGTCGAATGCTTTTTCAGTGTCTATTGATATGATCATGTGGTTTTTATCTTTCATTTTATGTGGTGTATCACATTCATTGATTTGCGAATATTTTACCAGCCTTGCATTCTGGGATGAATCCCACTTGGTCATGGTGAATACTTTTTTTGATGTATTGCTGGATCTGATTTGCTAGTATTTTGTTCAGGATTTTGGCATCTGTGTTCATCAGGGAAATTGGCCTGTAGTTTTCTATCTCTGTAGTGTCTTTTTCTGGTTTTGGAATTAGAATTATGCTGGCCTCATAAAACGAGTTTGGAAGTCTTCCTTCTTGAATTTTTTGAAATAGTTTGAGGAGAATGGGTATTAATGCTTCTTTGAATGTTTGGTACAACTCCCCCATGAAGCCGTCCAGGCCTGGGTTTTTGTTTGCTGGGAGAGTCTTGATTACATTTTCAATTTCCTTAGTTGTTATTGGTCTGTTCAAGTTTTCTATCTCTTCCCGGTCCAGTTTTGGGAGACTATGTGTTTCTAAAAATTTGTCCATTTCGCAGATTGTAGAATTTGTTGCCATATAATTGTTCATATTTGTTAACAATCCTTTGTATTTCTGTGGTGTCAGTTGTTACTTCTCCTCTTCCATTTCTGATTTTGTGGATTTGGGTTCTCTCTGTTTTTTGGTGAGTCTAACTAAGGGTCCATCAATCTTGTTTATCTTTTAAAAATACCAGCTCTTTGTTTCATTGATCCTTTGAATTGTATTTTTGGTCTCTATGTCATTTGTTTCTGCTCTGATCTTTACTATTTCATTCCTCCTACTTGCTCTGTGGTTTTCTTTTTGTTTGTTTTCTAGTTCTTTAAGTTGTGAGGTTAGATAGTCTATTAGAAATTTTTCTTGCTTCTTGAGGTAGGCCTGCAGTGCTATGAACTTCCCTCTCAGAACTGCTTTCACTGCATCCCATAGATTTTGTGTTGTTGTGTGTTCATTTTCATTGGTTTCCAGGAAGTTTTTAATTTCTTCCTTGATCTCCTCAGTAACTCATTCATTGTTTAATAACATGCTATTTAGCCTTCAGGTGTTCAAATGTCTTTGCATGTTCTTATTGCAACTGATTTCTAGTTTCATGCCATTGTGATCTATGAAGATGCTTGATATTTCAATCTTCTTGAACTTTTAGAGACTTAGTTTGTGTCCTAACATGTGGTTTATCTTTGAGAATATCCCATGTGCACTTGAGAAGAATGCGAATTCTTAGTTTTGGGGTATAATTCTTTGTAGATATCTATTAAATCCATTTGTTCTAGTGCTTCATTTAGAGTCTCTATTTACTTGTTAATTTTTTGTCTAGAGGATCTACCTAGTGATGTCAGCAGGGTGTTGAAGTCCCCTGCTATGAATGTATTGCTATCGATTTCTCCTTTGAAGTCCTCCAGAAGATTTTTAATATATTTTGATTACTTCTTCTAATGTTAGTCATTCTAATAGGTTTACAGTGGTATCTCATTGAGATTTTCATTTGCATTTCCCTAATGACTAATAATTCTAAGCATCTTTTCATTGGCTTACTTGTCTAATATTAATACATACATTATATGTATTGACTATAGAGTCCAACACTGAAAAGTTGGTATAATTTTAAGAATTTAGCCCGATCTGTGTAGCTCAGGGGTTGAGCACAGACCCATTCACCAAGAGGTTGCCGATTTGATTCCCGGTCAGGGTACATGCCCAGGTTATGGGCCTTATTCCCAGTGTGGGGCATGCAGGAGGCAGCCAGTTGATGTTCTTTCTCATCGATGTTTCTCTCTCTCTCCCCCTAATATCAATAAAGAAAAATAAATTGAAAAAGAAAATAATTTATCAGACCACAGTATGAAGCACAGAGATGTTACGGGATATTGCTAGGTAATACTGTTCAACACTTCATGATTATAGTAAAAATATAAGAGATGCACAAACAAGTTGAAAGTTCTGCCTTAAAAGATATTTTACATGAACAGAGATGGCTAAATAAGAAAAAGGACAACGATTTCAATCAAGAAAATAACCTGAAATCTCAAGAAAATATTTGACTTGTCCCAAATGAATATCTACCGTAAAATAATACTACAGTATATAAAAACACTCTGCTTATCAAGTGGTCTGTTGTAAGAGTCACCTCGACCTCCAGGATGCAGCCACAAAACCGAGGGTGTGGAAACAAACACCCCTGCTATCCAAAAGCCACACTGAACTTTTCTGGGTGAGAAGAGTCAACACTCCCTCTTATCTGAAACGACTCACACTTAATATCTTGTGTAAAATTAAGTCTATCAAGTCAATGAGCTTAGCTGGTAGTCTCCTCTTGCTAACTTTCAGGTCTTTTCAGATACACCACTGAGGAGCGAAGGACAAAGTCAATTTAGTCATGGTGTTCATGGCAGATAATGAGAGAATTTTAGGAGCAGCTGAAGAAAAGCAGCTTGTCAGGGCCTCCTATTCACACACCATTTTTAGCACAAACTCAAAAACATTTCTAAAAAATTAACAAAAGACCATGATCCAGCTTCTGACTACCAGGGCTTTCTGCTGTACCTGCCTCAGAACAGACATGGTTCTCTCTTCCTAGGAGTCTTTGGGCCAGGAATCTACATCCCCGAGGACAGCAGAAACCCAGACCACCATATGCTCACAAGCCTAAAGTACGTTTCTCAAAGGAGGCTGCTGTTTTCCAACCCACCCAAGGTAGCTGCTGTCACCTACCTTACCCCAGCCTCACTGGTCCCTTCATCATCAAGCTGCTGTCAGCTGTCCAGTCTTCCCCTGCCCCCGCCCCCATCACAATAACTTTTATTGTATCTCTAAACTCTGTTTCATAGCAAACAAATCATTTTACATTCTCACTTTCCCCCTGTTCCTTGTATCTTCAGACCTTTTCTGGCTCTTCCTATAGACAGTGCTTGTTCTCAAATTCTGCTGAGGGGAAGCTGCTCATTAGTTGACTGTGCTTCAGAATTAGGAAGTAGAAGCTGTTTTCCTCCCCCCCCACCTCTCTTCTAGACCATTAGTTCCCAACTCACGTGTAAAAACAGCTTGTTAAACCATCTGCTATCCTTACTTACATCCTTACTTACACCAACCACTTTCCCCAGCACATTTTCCATGTGAACACAGACTTCTTCGCCAGCTTCAGTTTTGCAATCATACAGGACAAATCCCACAAATATACAAAGTACAATTCACATTACAGTTCTATTTATTACCCTCTTTATCTCCAGAAACTTTCCCTATTCGATTTTCATTTTAAAACTTTTCAAAATGGAAATCTGTTCTTTTAATGCAGAGGACTTACTTCATACACTAATTTCAATCAATACAGAAAAAGTAAAAACCCCTCAATAATTCTTCCTACAGTAGACAATCACTATTTGCAGCTTAAGCTATCATGTTAAAAATGTAATGCTATACATATATTTGTGTACATGTGTATTTCCACAAGTAGATCTTAACACATACTAAATATACTTTTTTTTTTTTTTTAATTTAAAAGGGTATTGTACATGTCATCATCCTATATTTTTCAGTGGCTGCACAGTAATCTGCTCCATGGATACATCAAATATTACATGGTTCCAAATAGGAAACACAATATTTTTTTTTACACTTCAATTTTTTACACTTGTAAACAAAACCATGGTAAAGATTCTTATATGTTCAACTTCGCAAATGCATCTTCCTTTCCATAGATTCCTAACAATGTAATTACTGGATATCAATGTACTCACTGTTTAACTGACTCCTCTTCTCCATTACTTATACATCCAATCACTAAAATCACGAAATTCTGTCAATTCTATCTTCTAGGTAACCTCCTAAATATCTAAAAATGTCTCTTCTTCTCCACTTGCTCAGCCACTATTCAAGTTCAAGCCGCTATGACGTCTTGTCTAGATTATTTCAACAGCCAACTGTCTCCTTGCTTACAATTTTCTCCACCTGTATTCCATTTTCTTAGCTACAAAGATCTTTCTAAAATGCAAATCTTACCTAAACTTCCTCAATGGCCTTCAGTGCTCATGGGATAAATTCCAGTCTTCTTAACTTGACTTGTAAGGCCCAGAACATTCTATATCTTGGTTACATTTACTGTTTTGCCTCCTTCTATGCTAAAGCCAGAGGTGACGGCCTTCAGCTACCTATTTCACTTTCCTGCTCTCACCTTCTGGGTAGCAATATCCCTGTCACAAACTGCCTTTACCTAACGCCTTTTCACCCTTTAAATCTCAGATTATATCAGAAATCTTTTTTGATTCCTCAAATTTGAGTTATGGGACTCAACTGTGTATTCCCATTTTCCTTTCATTTCTTAATTTCAACAAAATAAACTACTCCTTTCACCAAAAATTATATCCATTCCATGGTACCATTTCTTTTAAAAAGGTGTGTTTCTATAAATCTAACTAGCTATCCTTTCAAATAACATATGGAAAAAAAAAATCTATGATGATAGTCACATAATGTTAAAGATATACCAACATCTCCTGCTTAATGTCAGTCATCCATTCCTGATGATCAGGTATATGGCGTGAAAATGTTGAGAGCCTATTTCCCACTATAATGCACCAAGCCTAAACTCCCAATAACCTTATTAAAATATAATTAAAGTATAGCAGAATACTCTAAGTAAATAACAAACTATCATGTTAGGACATAAAATGCTTATAACACTGCTTCCAAATCACCATATATAGAACAAACAGTCCTGTGACTTAAATTATTATAAGCATCTTAGGCATGTATTCCAAAATATCATTTAGGCATTATGCAGCAAAAGGATACCACCTAAGACAACATCAACTATGTCACAAAAATAAAACGTTTCTGGATACAATGCAGGTGAATTCAATGTGGTATCAAGTTAAGATTAGGGCCTGCTATTTTGAGCTGTGTTTGTGTTAAGCTATAGAGCCTGACAAAAATTATGAAAATATACAAAATCATCTGCTCTAGCAGTGCACAGATTGACTCTCTGGCAGCCACTGTCATAATTCTCTCCCTTGCCTTCTCAATAGGCAATCTGGCAACGCAGGTTTCCTGTCCTTTCACAATTCTCCGCAGCTACTGTGCGCTAAATAAATGAGATTTATCTTCAAGGCTCGTTTTAGTGCTGGTATACTTTGATTTCAGACTTGCTTTGTCCAAACGAAACTAACCATGCCATTTGATGATGCTAAAAATTTACAGTAGCACCATATTTTTCTGCCATAAATAGCATTATTAGTTATTATAGTTTACAAATCACCTTTTATGTACATTTTCCTCATAGAACCTAGTAAGGCAAGTAGTATTATATTCATATTCTGTCTGTACACACATGTACACACACACACATCTATCTCTTGCAACTTCAAAAATGGGCTTAGAGAAAGCCACAGAACTGGCTTAAAATACAAATAATGACAAAGATAAGTTATGTAGTATACAATCAATCAATAAATACAAATCAGATCAGAATTCTTTTTTTGATAAGGGGAAAAAATTAAAAACAGGCAAATTTTGACTACTTGAAGAGAGAAAAGGGTACACTACTGAGGAAGAAAGCTCACCAAGATGGGGAAACTAGTAATAGTGAATTCAAACTTAAGGACTGGACACTACTACATAGCGTCAATTTTGGTCATCTTCAACTGAGCAAACAGAAGAGGTACAGGAACTATTTGTAACTATTTGTAACTATTTGCAGTGGGCATATTTCTGCTCCAAGACTGATAAATTCTTTAAAATACTACAGACTTCATTAGAAAGAGATGCACCAGACACTTGTTAATTAACATATGATTGCAAAAATCTCAAGGCTATTTAGACATAGCATACCTGGGGTACATAGAACCTGCTTTGGTTACAATGCCCCACTCCAACAAATTTACAGCGCCCAAATTTATACACAACATAAATTCAAGGTGATAGTATGCCTTGAAAGATTTGCATGAGTATTTTTTTTTAAATATTTAAACCTTTAAAAAAAAATTTTTTTTTCCATTATTGATTTTAGGGAGAGAGAAGGTGAGAGGAAGAGATAGAAGCATCGATGAGAGAGAACATTGGCCTCTTCCTGCATGCCCCCCACTGGGGATCGGGCCCACAACCTGGGCAAGTGTCCTGACTGGGAATCAAACTGGCGACCTCTTAGTACATGGGATGACGCTCAACCACTGAGCCACACTGGCCAGACTAAACCTTTTATTTTTTTATTTATTTTAGAGAGAGGGGAAGGGAGCGATAGAAACATTGGCTGCCTCCTGCACACCCCCTACAGGGCATGTGCCCTGACCAGGAATATATCAGGACCTCTCGGTCCACGGGATGATGCTCAATCCACTGAGCCACACTGGCCAGGCTGCATGAGGATTTTTCACAAGGATCCATTTACTTGCCCTTTTTTTAAAAATTTCAAATAGGATTCAATTTGAAATGTGATTTGTATAAAATGTATTAAAGGTAAAAAAAGCCTAAGACAAATCAAAATTTAAAAAGAGTATGAAGCTGCCAGAACAACTGCAAGGCAGTAAAAGGCAGACTGGAAGCAGGTTAAGAGGTAGCCAAGGCCATATCATGCGGGTGGCATCTGAAGGCCATTCTGCGGACTTTGGATTGTGCTCTATGAAGCCACTACAGGTTTTGAGCATGGGAGTGAGATAACCTGATTACCTTTTAAATAAATCATTCTGGCAACTATTAAAAAAAAAGAGTATAAAGGTATCTTTCAGAATATCTCTTCTGAAAGATATTAAATACACAATTTATTCTACTTAAATCATTGCCTATGTTTTGGGGGATGAGCCAAGGCTATAATCAATCACTGCTTTATCAATCTAAAGTTTAGTATTTCATTATAATTCATATAGTAAAGTCTGAGAAATGGTCAAGTACTCACCAATGTTTTGGTGTAACCTGGCTCAGACTGATAACTTCATCGAGGATTTCATTTTTAGCTTTTTCAAATAGTTCGTTCTAGGCAATACAGATACAAATACGTAAGATTTCCATAAGAGAGTAAATTTGCCCTTACATGATTTTCAGAGATAAGTAAAAAGTAGGCCTCTGACAGGTAGTGGGATGAGCTCAGGTTTGAAGCACACATGACCAGCCACTAATGCTCTTCTCTTCTAGTCTCTTCTGTAAAAATGCCGATATCCATACCAGGACAAAGACACCAACACAAATGTCTATCTTATTCACTTAATTCTGAATGCAGTTGTTCACATAACACTTGTTCAGATAAATTTTTCACATAACAAAAGTTATGTGAAAGTAGCAATACATATTAGTTCAATGTATTAGTAAACTGATGCTGTTTTACAAACAATGGCATATTAAAATCAAGAAAAACCAGTACTTAAAACCCACTAAATTAGAGTATATTCTTCCACAGTAAATGTTGAAAAGGTAAAAATTTGGTATATAATTTTTAAAAGTTTACATTACATAAATATATTAATTCTATAAGACTTTAAAAATATTCTTCATCTCAGAAAATATGTTTAAATACTTGTTTTGACATCCCTAATTATGTTTTCATTTTATGAAAAATTATTCAAATTATTATAGAAAAGATAACTGCACCTGGGAATGTATGCTTGCAGTTCTCAATTAGTAATCATGGTCAAAACCAAAACAATTTGGCTCGCCAGATTTCACTCATCAACACACATTTTGTTAGAGTGCAATAGATTAGAGCAGTGGTTTTCAATTTTTTCCATCTCATGGCACACATAAGCTAATTACTAAAATTCTGTGGCACAACAAAAAATATATTGTATTTTTTGCTGATCTGACAAAAAATGTTATAATTTTGACTCACACCAAATGGCTATTATTTTTTATTTGACAATCTAAGGGAAAGAGGTCAGTGCCCCTGACTAGTCAGGTACTAAATGTTTTAAAAATTCTTGCTGCACACCAGCTGAAAATCACTGGATTAGATATATGCAAAATATATGAGGTGCACAATATTACCCGGTCAAGTTCTCGCAGGCGAGGATAGTTATTCTTCCACTCCGTTTCAAGGTTAAAACGTGTTGCTGAGGAAGGAAAGATGTTCCAGTTAGATGATTCTTTCTTTCCCGTGCAGTGGCGAAAGGCTATCTTGCGTATCTTCTGCATTAACTGAAGTTGAGTGTGCACCTATGGCTGCTGAGTACTTAGGGCTCTCAACAGCTCCGAATCTCATTATTGCAAGTCTTCCTAACTAATCTCCTTAACTCTAGTTTCTACATTTACAATGCACCAAACACAATGGAAGCAGTTTAGTACAGCAACTAAGAGCATGGACTCTGCGTTCATACCACCAAAACTCTAATCCTGCGTCTACCACTGTATGACTCTGGGTGTGTCACTTAGGTAAGGTACTCTGTCCCTCAGTTTTCTCTTCTGTAAAATGGGAATAATAATAATACTGACAAGGTTGCTCAGGGACTAAATGGAATAAATCAGTAGGATTTCTGAATGACAAAAGGGAAGAAAAGTATACTCTTACCAAATGAAACTATGGAAGCAAAGCCATGCAGCAGGGAAAGTATGGGAATCAGGAAGTAGCCGAAGTACAGGCTGCTCTGATTCCTAATACATTTCCATCCCCCTCACCCCAAAGGGGGACTCTGAGTTCATTGAAGTTTACAAAGCTCTTTCTCCCAAATACTACTGCAAACTTTCTAATCTATTTAAATTCACAATATGCTCCCAGCAATTTTTCCTCTGAGAGGAAAAAAACTGTTTTTGTAGTACTACAACTGAAGAATTGTATTTTTTCCATTTTCTACATACTAACTAACAATAAAAGAACTATAAAGCAACTGTTAAAGAAAGGGGAGTCAAGAATCTGATGGATACCTAAGATTGCCAGCTAACACAATGTCTAAATGTGTTGCTTTATTTAAAAAACCCAACTTACCTTTGAAACTATCAGCTTGTTGTTCAACGGACTCTCGTACCATTTTCCAAAAGCAATCTGACACGGCAAGGCTTAAATTCCTTGTAGTCACTTGGTGTGCCTTTAGCATGCTTGCCCTATAAAAAGTAACAAGAGTTCAAGTATACTAAAATGGCAAAAAGGACTACACCATCACTAAGTTCGAGAACATGTTTTGTATGATAACCTAATGAGAATAGCCACATATACATTCTATACCAACGCTGTCCAATAACATTTTCTGTGATGAAGAAAATGTTCTATATCTGAACTATCCAATATGGTAGCTATTACTAGCCACATGGGGTTATTGGGCCCTTGAAATGTGCTACACACCAACTTTAAAGTGAAAACTATGAGTTTAGGCTATTCCCTCACTATAAAATCTTTAAATTTTTAAACAAGATACCTACTTTAGGAGTTTTGAATTCTGAAAAAATTCTTCTTCATATTCTCTTATTGCTTCTATGCTTTCAGAGCTGTTTCCTAGGAAAACATCATAGTAAAATTCTCGCTAAGAAAATTAATGTTTATTACTTGAAAACAACACAAACTTCAATTACAGTAACCCATCTTTGCATACCTTTTCCTGTTACAACAGCAAAATAACCTAGAGCTTTCATTGGGAAGAGTTTTCCTTCAATTATCTGCTGAATCTATTTTTAAAAGCGAGAAAAATAAATGTGAGATAAAGGTAACATAATTTTATATGCTATTTAGAAAGCAAATTTAAAATTCTGTTTATGTATATGTTTATTTAAATATTTAAATACATACAATGTATTAAAATGTATTTCAATTGCTATTTGAGGAAAAAATAAATACATTTAATTTTAGTATATTAAAAATGTATTATTAAAACACAAGTACCAAAATTAATCTTGGAATGATGTGCAGTGCCCTGGAATAAGGCCTCTGTTAGTTTCTGGTCTGCCACTTACTAGCTATGTGGCCTTAAGCACACTACAACTTTTTCATAATGGTTAAGAAGATTACATGAGATAATAATGATATTTAATAAATGGGAGCTGCTATTATTTCCCCACACTCTTCTTCAAATATCTAAATTCTAACCAAGTTGGTAAAAAAATATTTGAATTCATTGGTTCTCAACTCTTTTAAGGTCAAAAATCTTTTTCTAAATTAACAAAAACTACAGACTTTATCCCCAGAAAAATGGACATTTGTGCTGAGATCTATCATTTACACAATGTACGAGTTCCTACTCCCAGAAGTCCACTCAGTTGAAGACTTAGGGATGTAAGAATCGCTGCTCTAAAATAGGTCACACCCCTAAGCTAACGCTGACTCTAGTATAGAAAAAGGACTGCTATAGCTTCAATTGCATTTCAAAAGAAATACAAACTCACTATCCTAGAGAAGAGCAAAAAGAAATGAAAGGAATGAAGAGAGATGGGAAGAAAGCACAGAAATTTGCTTCTACCCCATTTCTCCCCCTCTCCATATTAGGACCAATACTGCCACAGCAGGCCTCACCCATAAAGTAAGGCAAAGCGAAGGTCAGTGTTAAAAAAGCTCACATAGCAGGCCTGAAACTGCTGTCCTCAGAAAGGCCTGCTTGTCCTAGCTGGCATCTGGGAACTTAACTAGTAAACAATTCTCTACATTGATATAAAACTTTCCCTAAATAACAGTAGCTCATTGTACAAGCAATGTGGTTTATGCTGAACATCTGCCTTCCTTTGGGCGTCTGGAATGTTGGTGCCTACATACCAGAACCCTATCAAAACCTTAGGTGCTGAGTCTCTAACGAGCAAACTGTTGCTGTAGGAATTAAGCATGTCCTCTGTGACTCTACTGGGAAAGGCCTGTTGAAAACATGAGCCTGGTTTCCGCTAGACATTGTGTCTTTTCCCTTTGTGATTTTCCTCTGTCTCCTTTCACTGAAATAAACCTTAGGTATAGGTAGGAATATGTGCTTCAGTCCTGTGAGTCCTTCTAGACAATCAGTGAACTGTCTCGGGAATCCCTGATAGAGAGAAACAGTCCCAGAAAGTCTCAGATGGAAAGGAGAGAAATCCTGAGCAGCAGAATGAGGGATGGGCACTTATATTTGAAATTGTTGTTCTATATTTTATATTATTATTTTTATAAAGATAAAGTGATAATAACAGATGACAGCCACAATGTATATAACAACTTTTGTGCCAAGCACTTTTAATAGAAGTACTTAATTCATTAAACCTTCACAACTTATAAGCTAGTACTAGTACATTTCCAACAGATGAGAAAGCCTAAAGCATTAGAAAACTTAAATAACGTATCCAAGGTTATAAATTTAGCAAACAGTAGAGCCAGGATTTGAGACCAAGCAATCAGACTACTGACCCTGCATTCTTAACCATGAGACCTTATGCCTTTACAATTAAGTTGAGAGCATGACCTAAACCAAGACCTGAATGAACCCTCATAACACAATGTTACTTTGAAATACATCTCTTTCCTTGAGGGACACTGAACACCATGTACAGTTGAAGTCACAGTATTTCAGAAATGAAAATACCCTAAAGATCAACTATACCAGAGATTTTCAACCACCTCATAGCACACATAAAATAATTAATAAAATTCTGTGACACACCAAAAATATGTATTTTTGCTGCTCTGACAAAAAAGTAGGTATAATTTTGATTCATTCACACCAGATGGCTATTGTGTTGGCTGCTGTCATTTTTTATTTGACAATCTAAGGGAAGTCAGTGCCCTTGACTAAATAGTCAGGTACTGCATGCTTTAAAAATTCTTGCAGCACACAGCTGAATTAGATTAGCAGGCTGGCTTGTGCACTGACTACATACAGAAAGTAACATGATTTGCTCAAGGACACACCCAGTTGATAGTGGAGCACAGATAAAAATGCTGACGCCTCACATCTCATCTAATGCCTTTCCTATTGTAAAAACCTACTACATGGCCTTTGACCAGATAGAAAGGTAATGTCTATCTGCAACAACAACACAAAAAGCGCACATAGGTCCAAAAGGAATCTATACTGTCACTAGTTTTACCCTAACTTACGAACACCAATTTACAAAAAAAAATTTAAAAAGAGAAACACCACAAATGAGGTTAATGATTGTATGCCAGCATACCAAATTATTTATGAGTATGCAACATTAGCAGTTTAAGCATTTCTAAAGCAAACAATAATTATGGAATTTTATTTACACCTCAAAAATTTCACTGTAGTAATTTACTATAACTTTCCAATACTTTGCTTTTATGGAGAACAAAGAAAAATCTCTCTACTACTCTCTGATGGAGTATTCCATAAGGCTTATTGTTTTTATAAACAGCCATGTCATAACTGGAGCTTGTACAAAGATTCTTTTATCTCATAATAAAGAACTTGCACTCACCCTGCTTGGACTAGCCACATTTTTCTCTGCCAGGTCTACTTTGGTCAAAACAAATATTGTCCTTCTTCCATGAGGATCCATTTGACTGACCAAGTCTGTGACAATGCTGCGTTCAGCATCCACAGATCCATCTGGAAAAAAAGAAAAAAATGACAATGTAATAATACCAAAATGGATTTTAAAAACTTCCACAAGCTACACTCTTGTGTCTACATTATAGTAAGAAAAATTTCCTTAATATGCCTTTATTATGAAAAGATACTCTAGTCAATAAAAATGTCTATGCTGTCTACAGTGGTATATATCAAAATATTCCCAACTTCAATTCTATTTACTAATAAAATGAATAAGAGATGATAAAACATACTTATCTTTTCTGTTTATGTCACATGCATATTTAGAGTAAAACTTGGATTGCTAAAAGTATATCAGTGCAATTAAAATCTTTTGATAAGCCCTGGGTGGTGTTGCTAAGTGGTTAGAGCCTTGCCCCCCTCCCACCCCCAAAGGGTAGTGGGTTTGATTCCTGATCAAGGCCATGTACCTGGATTGCAGGTTTGATCCCTGGCCCAGTTGGAGCACATACTGGAGCTGACCAAATGATGTGTCTCTCTCACATCAATGTTTCTCTCTCTCACCTTCCCTCCCTTATGTTCTCTCTAATTACCAACGGGGAAAAAAAATCTTTTGATAAGATTTACCTTGAATACATAGGATGATGGCATTAGGATTCTGCATATAAGCTTTGCTCATACTGAAAATAGTTTCCTTCGTGTCAGGAGCCATGCCTGCTGTCACAGTCTTAAAGAAAAAGGTTTTAAATGTCATCATAAATGTTTTCCATACAGGAATAAGATAAAATACAGGTTTTGTGTATACTTACATTAATTACACCCGGTAAGTCAACAAGCACCATCCTCTGTAGTCCGGGGCCTTTTACATTTAAGGATATAGTCTACTCAGGGGACAAAAGAAAACAACACAAATTTTGGAGGAAGTGTGTTAGGAACTCTTTGTTGATATATATTCTGAAAATTGTATATCTCATCCATTCAGATATGGTGCTCAGAAAAATGTTATTCTTTTTCTGATCCTAAAAGTAATTAGTCTAGATAATTACCCATAAAATGATACATTATTTGGAATATTTTTAAAAAGTCTATGTTATTTTGAAAAAGCAGCAATCTAAATATCAATGCCAATATCATCATTCATTTCAAATCAAAGGCATTAGATTTCCATAAAACGTTGAAATGAATTGCAACACTCACCTCAGGGCTAACAGTACAGCCTTCTTTCACATTTTTCCTCATTCGAAGTTCTATTTCATGTCTCAATGCTGCAAGCTATAAATGGAAAACAACAAAGTCCTAAGAACATCTTCAGTTAACAAATATTCCATTTAGTTGTCTTTTATAAGCTTACACAGGTTATAAAGTGACACACATGAACCTCACATGAATGCTACTTACATCTTCCTCTTTGGTAAGATCAAACTCTCGAGAACTATCTTTAAACAAGGCCACATGGTGAGGACCTTCACTCAGAGTCACCTGAAATTAACAGAAAAGTGAGATGTAATAATGCATTTACAATTCATGTTAATTCCCACAGCACTTACATGGTCTGGATAGGCCAGTGCATCACACAAATCCAGGCATTCCTTCCTTTTACATACACATCAGGAGTATCCCTGGGGGCTGTCAACATAGCAACATGGAGACCACAGAACACCGTATCTGTATTGTCCATACGTTTGCCACATATATTGTGATTGCCAGACAAGACTGCTGCTACTTTCTATCTTTCATGACCTAAAATACTGCTGCCCTTCTTGTTTCAGTCAGTGCTATATAGAGTACTGAGCACAAAGCCATCAATCTAAAACCTGCAAAACTAAAAGAAAATCTTACATTTAACTTCACAGGTAAATTTAGGTAAAGGACATTCATTTGTTGAACATCTATTTATTGAGAGCTAACTGTGTCAAGTGTTGTAGGCGGGGAAACATAAAGACTTGACTCTCCCTGCTTTAGACCTCACTACACACTGGGACAGAGATATAAAAGCAGGACAGGGGAGCAACACCTAGGGTGCTGCTGCAGAAGAGAGTGGCACTAACTAAAGGAGAACTAGGGCAGCCTTTCCCCAAGGAGTGCCCTCTGAGCAAGAAATCCTGACTTACAGGTTAACAGTCAGTAGTTTCAACTTCCCAACTTCACATTCCTTGACGCTTTAACTGTAACTTTTCACGCGTCATTATAAGTGATCCGATTTCACTTTTAAAATACAATTCCTTCTACTGAGAGTAGATAAACAGACTAGATAGATAACAAACCAAAACCAGCTGTTTGAAGGCATCAGAGAGCAAACTGGACTGAGTCCAAGATCCCAAAGATTGGCGGGGGATATTCTGCAGGTATTTTCTCTTAGGGCATTTGCTAATTTGTGGCACAGGGTGGCCTGAGAGAAAAGCTTAAAACTTGGAGCAGTTTCATTGGGTTGAGGAACCAGAGTTATCAAGCAGCCACCATTTAGGATCCCAAGATCCCAGAGAAAAACGCACAACAGAAATGAATCTCCAAATCCGAGCCCTACATCCTGTGCACAATTTCCCTTTGAGGCACACATTAAGAAACAAAGCAGGCCCTGGCCAGTTTGGCTCAGCGGTTAGAGTATCAGCCCGAGGACCAAAGAGTCTCAGGCTTGATTCCTGATCAAGGACATGTACCTCGGCTGCAGGTTCAATCCCTGGCTCCAGTTCAACCCTGGTAAAAGTCATGTGGGACACAACCAATCAATGTGCCTCTCACATCAATGCATTTCTCTCTCTCCCTCCCTCACTCCTTCCCACTCTATTTTTAAAAAATCCATGAAAAAGTATCCTCGAGTGAGGATTAAAATTACAAACAAAAAATTTTTTTTATAAGAAACAAAAAAGCTGCTAACGAAACTAACATGTTAAGTCAAGACTGGCAATCTCTCTTCAGGTGAGACAAAACTCTGAGTTCAGAGTCTACCGAGGAGAAGTCCTGGAAATACTATAGGAGTAAGGGCACACTGGAGAGTCCAGCCTTGTAGGTTTCAAGGAAATCCGTCCATGCTGGATCAGCCTGCTGGAAGAAAATGAACTCCTGCTGAAGTATAACATCATCCACAGGCACTACAATTAGGGTGCTGATAACAATGTAAAAGGTAGGTTTACAATGCTGTTACAGTTGGTTACAGAGCATGATATGAGGTGTAGCCAGTTCATTTCTTTTCCTTCTAAATTAGAAGTATCCCAAATGGATCTGCAAAGTGTGGTACATTCAAACAATACTATAGAACAGTGATTTTTTTTTTTAACCTTTTTCATCTCATGGCACACAAACTAATTACTAAATTTCTGTAGCATACCAAAAAATGTATTTTTTTGCCAGTCTAACAACAACAACAAAATAGGTATAATTTTGCTTCATTCGCACCATATGGCTACTGTTGTGTTGGCTGTTGTCATTTTTTTATTTGACAATCTAAGGGACAAGGTCAGTGCCCCTGACTAAACATTCAGGTATTGCAAGTTTTAAAAACTCCTGCGGCGACCCGACTGAAAATCGCTGCCGTGGAACAATGGAAGAGACTGGCTGACATATGGTGGAATTCACAGCCAGACTCGAGCGCCCTCTATGAATCACACCAGACTGCTTGTTGCCACCACAGACAGATTTTAGCATCCACTTCACTGTCTCATTTTCTACCACTATTCTGGCCTTCATTCTTGGTGACTTCAGGTTTCCAATTCTCCAATTACTCTCTATAATAACCCACCAGCTGAACTAAAAGAAAAAAATACACAAACATAGAGTGTTCCCTTAAGTTTGTGTCTAGACCTTAATGGGGACTTCAGCACCACTCAGTAATCCTATTTCTCAAATTGCCTCGGCAACTCAATCCTGGACTCATCATTCGCCTGCAAAAGACTTCACACTCTCCTCTTATTCAATCTTCAATACCTTCTCCGCTCTCTCTACTCAACAGCCGAGAGTCTAGCTTCATGTCTCTGAGGAAGTGGAAGCGATCAGAAGGCAACTTCCACATTTCTACTTACTTGCCTCTACTGTACATTCCGTTATCAGTTCTCAGATGGCACCTTCTTTGATTATCAGCGGCACTGACCTCGCCCATCACTCCCTCCTCCTGGATATTTCTTCCTGACTTGCAGCACGCAGACCACACCTTTCTAGTTTCCCTCCTATCACACTGATTGCTCCCTCCAAGCTCCTTCATTGTTTCCATCTCCCTCAATCTCCAATGTTGGGAGTGCCTGGGACACATCCTTAGTTCTGTCTTCTCTCTCTAGTCACTCCCACAGTGATCTTATCCACTAAGACCATGGCTCTAAATACTACTTTGAGATATTTGATTATGACTCCTGAATTTAAATCTCTAGCTCAGACAGCTCTCCAGACTTGTATATCTAACTGCTTATTTGTTAACACCCCTCAGCATGTCCAAAACTCCTCGTCTTCTTTCCCAAAGCTAATAAACTCTAATCCTGACTTCCCCATGCCAATTACATGCTTTAATTTATTCAGGCCAAAGACTTCAAGTCATCCTGACAACTGACTTCTTCTCTCTCCGTGTCAAATATGTCAAAAATCATGTTGATTCTACTTTCATAATAGATTCAACCATTTTTTATTACCTTCACTGCTACTTCTCTGGTGCAAGTATCACCTGGGTACTCTAATAGCTTCCCACCTGGTCTTCCTGGTTCTCCCTCTTGCCTATGTCTATTTCAACACAACAGTCAGAGTGAGCCTTTTAAAAATAATGTTAATCTGCTGAAAACACTGCATTGGCTCCCATTTTCTTCAAAATAAAAACCAAAGTTCACAATATGACCTACAAGGCTCTAATAATTTGCTTTCCCCATTATCCCTCTGACCTCATCACCTAACTACTCTTCACAGTGTTTTAGCCACAATGGCCTTGAACTTACTAAGCACCTAGTTAAAATTCTTCCTTTCAACACAATGAACAATAGTTCACTGCAGCAGCTACTTTTCCAAGGAACTTTATTCAGATGGCCTATTTTCTTACCTTCACTGGAGAACGCGTCATCATCTCCCCAGAGCCTCGTGGGAATATTCGTGCTTGAGCAATCATTTCCAACACACTAGTTTTTCCAGCACTCTGATCTCCAACTACAACAACCTTACAGCAAAACAAATAACATTTATTCATATTATTCGATTCCAACTTATATTTAAATACATTTGAAATGTTGCTGAAATTTTTTTATCCTTTTAAAATATCTACAGTTAAATAATTTAAAATTATCATCCATTAAAAAAACTGATAGTTGAATGTGTATGCACACTGAAAATATAAATAGCAAAACATGAATTGGATCCATTTATAGCCAAATTTTTATTAAAAACTTGTGTTAATTTAACGCATTATTTCTAAAACCAGATTATTCATGTTCTACAAGTCTTTCTCGTAGCTAGTTTACTCTTTACAAAAAACCTTTTCAATTCTATGAGGTTAAATTTCTCTCATGTGCCAAATTTAATCCACTGTTCAGGTACTATGATATCACGGATATTATGAATACATAATGTTAAATATCTAATAGCCTTCCTTTATTAAAAATAAATATCAGTCAACCAATGAATCAAAATACTCAAACAACATTCAATATTTTTTAAAAAATCATCTAGAACACATGAATGATATTACATAGGTCAAAAAAATATTTACTTGGTTCAATCTATGTGTATGTGTGTACGTATACATATATATGCATGTGTATGTGTGTGTGTGTACACATATACACATAACTTTTTTTTTCATCCAGAAACAATTTCCTCACTATTTATTAACACAAATGTGACAAACAATAGAAAAATAAGTAACTCCTTATCACACAATTTTTTTTCTTCAAATGGAAGAATGCCTGCCCTTGAGGAACTCATGAGCACTTGAGAAAGTCAGACAGTAAAGCAATAATTTGAACACAATATAAAGTTATAACAGAAGTATTGCAAAGGACTCGGGGAATGCAGTGGGAAACAGCCAGGTTTGTTTTTATTTTTGTTTAAAGCTTCATTGTTGAAAGTATTACAGATATCCCTCCTTTTATCCCCCCTTGACAACCCCCCTCCCCCGTCACCACACTGTTGTCTATGTCCATATAAGTTCTTTGGTTTATCTATTTCCGCCTTCCCACCCCCTTCCCTCTGAAATTTGTCAGCCTGTTCCCCAATTCCATATCTCTGGATCTATTCTGTTCATCAATTCATTTTGTTCACTATATTCCACATATAAGTGAGATCATGTGATACTTGTCTTTCTCTGACTGACTTATTTCTCTCAGCATAATACTCTCCAGGTCCCTCCATGATGTCTCAAAGGGTAAGAGATCTTTCTTTCTTACAGCTGCACAGTATTCTATTGTGTAAATGTATCACAGCTTTTTTTATTCTCTCATCTACTGATGGACACCTGAGCTGTTTCCAAACCTTAGCGATTATAAATAGTGTTATGTGGTATATATACATGCACATAACTTTGTTAAAACCTAAGGGGCAAGTTCGCTATGCATCAACTTTTCACTTACCCTTGGCAGATGATCTTGGGTATTATAACTGGCATCATAATCAGAGAGAACATCAAGAACTTCAGAATACATGTCAATCAAAGATTTCTATAAATTTAAAATATTAATATTAATTGAACAGTAAAAATATTTTTAAAACACCACAGATGTGTCAAGAGAAAAAAAGCTGATACATTCAAAATGTTTTTCCATAATTACTGTATTATTTTTTCTTAAGTATGTAAATACATATTCATAGTAAAACAGTATAGAATAAAATTCCATTTCTTCTTATCCAATTTATTTTATTTAGATATACTGATTATTAAAGTACATTAATTCAAGATTTCCTAATCTTCTAATTAAATGATAAAAGAGGGAAGTTATTATTTAATATTGAAGAGTTAATATTAAATGCCCAACAAAGGAAAACCATTAACACTGTAAAGGCCAAATAAGGAGTCAGATGACCAACTAAAAGGTCATCATTTTCTACCAAATTTGTGTGTGTGTCAGATATGAAGACAGACAGATGGAGGTAAGGTGGGGGGAAGGAACACTGAAAAGAGGATTAAAGTGGAGAAAGAATTTCCAAAAGAGATTGTTAAATCAGTAAGCCTGATTAAGTGCACTCTGACAACTAGGCAGACTAATAATAAAATTTAATTTGTTGATAATGGTAATTACCAATATGCTGATAATAAGCATGTGCTTTTTCAAAAATTCTTTAAAATGCCTAAGGAACTTTCCAGAAGAAAATTTTAACTTTCTTAAAAAAAGTAGCCTAGTCATTCACTAGAAGCACAGGTAAGGCAATGATGATAAGTCATATATAAATGTCTGTCAAATCAGAATTCTGGTTTAATACTAGAATGTAGAAATGAAATAGGCCTAAATATAAACTAGGTATCTCTGGAAAGTAAACTGATTCTTGCGAAATGACTATTAAAAGTATGAAGATTTGCCCTAGCCGGTTTGGCTCAGCGATTAGAAAGTTGGCCCGGGGACCCAAGTCCTGGATTTGGTTCCCGCTAAGAACACGTACCTTGGTTGCAGTTTGTCCCCGGCCCCAGTTGGGGTCGTGTGGGTGGTGGCCAGTCGATGTGCCTCTCTCACATCGATATTTCTCTCTCTCTCTCTTACTCCCTCTCTGCCTCCTGCTCTATTTGAAGATAAATGCAAAAATGTCCCTGGGTGAGGATTAAAAAAAAAGTATGAAAATTTTATGAGCATAGTTTAAAATAAATGTCTGGAAACTACAACTTGTAAAATGTCCTGAAGAACAGCGATGAGAACTAAAAGGGGTATAGAACACTTTATGCTTCTTTACACACTAGTATTGATGAATGCTCAATGTGAAATGGCAAAGTTCTAAGAATGAATAAATTAAGATAAACTTAAAATACCTTAAGCTGCCCTGGCCAGTTTGGCTAAGCAGTTAGAGCATTGGCCTGCGGTCCAGAGAGACCCGGGTTCGGTTCCCGCTAAAAGCGTGTACCTCGGTTGCAGTTTGTCCCCGGCCCTGGTTGATCGTGCAGGTGGCAGACACTTGATGTGTCCCTTTCTCGTCGATGTTTCTCTCTCTCTCTCTTCCTCTCTCTCTCCCTCCCACTCTATCTGAACAAAAAATGAAAAATGTCCTCGGGTGAGGATAAAAAAAATACCTTAAGCTTTCTATGATGGATGCCTTTGTCATCTTTCTGCAACACTAATTTTCTCAATTCTTTGTTCTCCTTTTCCAAGCGTTCCAGGATTCTCTGGTACTTTAACTGAAACAAAATAATACCATAACTATATAAGAAAAAAATAGCTTAATAAATAACATTAATTAAATCTAAATTAAAAGTTTCCAAAATACTGAAGTCTTATCTCCTATTTAAAATAAATTATTTCACTTTAAAAGTTCCTATGAAATCAGTTCAGAGAATAAAATAAATTATGAATACTATTTCAGTGAATTTCATTCTAGTTTTCTATTATAATAAGGCATTTTATTTGGAAAGTTCTTTCTATTTACAATGAAGAAATTAAATTATTTAAAAATGTAAGCCTTTAAAGAAGCCAGTCCTTGCCTGGCCAGTGTGGCTCAGTGATTGAGCATCAACCCATGCACCAAGAGGTCACTGGTTCGATTCCTGCTCAGGGCACATGCCCAGGTTGTGGGCCAAATCCCCAGTGGGGGGCATGAAGGAGGCGATCAACTGATGTTCTCTCTCATCAATGTTTCTATCTCTCTCTCCCTCTCCTTTCCTCTCTCTCCAAAATCAATAAAGGGGGAAGGAGGAGGGAAAGTAGCCAGTCATTAAGTACATTTCATGAAGCAGTATTTCCTACTACTTCAAAATTTGAAGTCTTCACTAAAGGGACATTTGATAAAAATTCAAATTCTTCCCAGTCCCCATAATATTTTACGTTTTAATTGAAATGATATAAAATAATAATAGTTAACAGTACCTGAACATGCATTATGTGACAGGCCCTTTAGTGAATGTTTCACCTACATTAACTTTCTTAAGCCTTCACATGAGGCACCGGTTAAATGGATTAGGAGCCTGAGGTTAGGGACGCGTGGTAGCCTATGCAAGGTCAGAGTTTTGAATCTCAAATGCTTCCAAATTTTGGTAAGTTTCTGTGGCCAGAGATTACCCATTAATTTTTAAGATAGTGATATAAAAACAGATTTTAAGAAAACAATGAGTTTAGACAGGCTGTTTTGTCAAAGTTCATGCTTGGCTACACACTTCTCTTAAATAAATGTGATCCTTTTCTAACTGGTCCTTTCAGTTTGCACACTATAATTTCTTCTCCAAGCATTAACAAGGTTTGGAAAGCTACTGAGAATTATTCTATCCTACACCAGAAGAATGTTTATGTTCAACTTATAATTATCATGCCTTTTATAATGGAAAATATTTCTTGTAATGTGTTTTTAGGTTGTAATCAATCTTCTAAGAACATAGTAAATAACAGGAAATTATGGTTCTATCCTCAGAGAATGTCCAGCTTAAGCCAAAGAAAAACTTAGTTTTAACTATATAGTATGAAACAGGTAGAACTATAGGTTAGATTCTACTATAAACCTTTTTTTTTTTTTTACAGAATTTATTAATTCATATGTAGTAATAGTAGAATAATATGTATAACAATATTCTGCCAGTATTTAAGAATTAGATCTTAGCTGTCTAATATAGTAGCCACTAGCCATGTGTAGCTATTAAGCACATCAAGTGTGGCTAGTTTGAATTGTGATATACTGTTAAGTGTAAAATGCACACCAGATTTCTATGACTCAGTAAGTAAATAAATAAAACACCTAATATTTATTATTCTGATTTACATATTTAGATGATACGATTTGAGATCTACTGCATTAAATAAAATATATTAAAATCAATTCTACAGGATCCTATTTATACATGTGGCTTACATTCTATTTCTATTGGATATTAACAATATAGATAACCGCAGAGTTCATTACATCATAAATTCTCCACATAGTGTTTATGTCAATAATGGTCAATGCCTAACAATTATAATTGCACAAGTTCAAGGGTCTGTATCAATGAATGTTATACAGGTGGTGGGATTTCCTCTGGCTCATTTCTTTGTAAATATGGAATGAATTATGGTATCTCCAAAATTTCTGAGGAAAAAACCATTCTTTGGAACAAGTGCCAGTCTGTAGCTATTTTACAGAGATGTGCAACTGGGCTGGGCTGTCTTCCAAAGCTCTAGACCAACAATACCCAAATGTAAGGATGCATCAGAATCACTTGAGGGCTTTTAAAAATAAAGATCACTGGGTTCCAATCCCAGAGTTCCTGATTCAGTGCGTCTCAAATGGAGCCAATAATCTGCATTTCTAACAAGAACCCAAAACATACTGATGTTACTGCTCCAGAGACCATGGGTGATTCTAAAGTATAGTCAGGTACAAGAATCAATTCATAGACATTAAGGAAACATGTGAATCAAAATATACTATTATTTAATTTCAGCTAGATTACTCCATGCTGTATGTTTTTCCCTTCAAAGACAGACCCAAAACAAGTCTTTTTTACTTAGTAAAACTTCCTGAGGCTCACTAGAACAGTGGTAGACTCAACTGTTACTTCAATTAATTAGTAACTATTACTTAAATTAGCCTATAAATGTAAAAATGCAAGCATAGGTTTATATAAGGACAAGCCACTTTCCCTCATTTTTTCCATGGTTTTTCTATAAAGTTAGAAGCACAGGGTTCACTAAAATATAGGTTTTACACATTTTGAGTCAACGCACTTATAAGGTCCTTCTTTGTTTCTTATTTCTCAATTAACTTTTGCATTTTTTGCATCTAATGATAATAAGATTCTATTGTTAAACCATTCCAAATTTTGTTTTGTTAAGAAAAGTAAATTTCCATATCACCAAACTTATACTAGAGTATAAGAAAAAGTCTCCAGTTCTCACTCATCAGAATTACCTGAGTATGCAGAAGTTCTTCTTGAAGTTGGTCAATTTTCTCTTTGTCTGACACCTAAATATTTAAAAGAAATCAATTGTGAGTAGAATTAGGTTTATTTAGAATATACAGTAAGTTAAAATTTTTTAAAGTATTTTTAAGAGTAAAAGCTACTGATTTTATATGCATATTTAATAAAAGCAAAATTTAAATCAAGTGATATTTAAGAAAGTGAAAAACAATTGTACTCATCAATAAAAGGAGCTCATCAAAATTTTACATTAAGTAAAAACCCTAAAAAGCAATCATTTTCCTGTTGTCATTCTAGAAATTTATGAATGGCTTGTTAGAAAAATAAGACATATATGGTTACTATGTTCTTCACAGCTTGTTTTGTGCTCAAGCACAGGAAATTGATTCATGGAGAAATCAAGCATTGACAGCCCTACAGAAATGTGTTTGGGAAATCAGATACATGTTATCATTTACAGATATTGAAAAAGTTCATTGATCATAGTATGTATTTTAAGCAAATATTATCCATTTCCATTCTGTAAGAAGGGAAGCATTTAATAAATGCAAAGAATAGCTTGCATTTTTAGAGCTCTAAGTGGAGCCAGATGATTGTTTTTAAATTTAGTTCTAGTGCAAGATCTGCTAGCACATAATATAGCAAATGCATTATTAGCAATCAAGTCAAGTAAAGCAACTAAAATAAATTTGGACATAAAACAAAAGGAGGACAAACTCCGCAAGTATTGTGGAACCTACTTCAAATTGTTATTAGTACTAATAGTTCTAAGATAAAATATCCAAAATGACAAAAAAAACTTTATTGTATAACATGCTTTAAAGTAGTCACAATACAATTCTAAATATAAAATACAATGATTAATTTTAATCAAAATGATGGCATTTATGACAAATCCACATTAACTGTGCTTTGACTCCTTGATGAGGTACAGAAGTTGTCATCCTCCATCTTATAAAATAACTGTCTAATTTCTGATCACTAAAATTTGTGAACATGTATTTATTTCATAGGACACAAAAATCAAGTTAAAATTCATGCAAATCCTTGTTATTCATTGGCTATTTAAGCAATCAAGACATCATGGAAGCAAATATATATAAAATTTTTTTTGATTTGCTTATTTAAGAAAGCATTAATAATTCTCATCCATGCAATAAAGTTATTTTGAGATTTTAATTCCTATTTCCAAATACTTTCTCAAAAATTTCCCCAAACACTTCTTTTAAATAAAAATGACAACGCTTCTTAGAAATAATAGGTACATGTTATTTTTTTCTTAAAAGCCTATGCCTAAAAAATCTCCAAATATGTTTCAGTAATTAGAAAAAAAGATAATATGAAACAAACTTCATTGCTGTTTTCTCATTCCTGTATAGCAAGCAGAGGCTTGTGGACAGAAACATTTTTCACTTGATTGTGTTTGTGTAGTATGGACAAGAATTATTAATAGTCTCCCAAAGTATGAGGAAACAAGAAAGCTAGAGAGGATCCCACAACCCAAAGAACAAAATATTGAAAGCCAATGAAGATATATATAATTCCACATTTTGATCATATGGCATGTAACAATGTGGTCATAAAAATTTTCTTATGCAGATTAAATTCCCAATTCATTTTAAAAGGTACTTCGATTTACTTTGTCTCATTAAATATTCATCCAACTGTAGCTAAATTAGTATGAACTGTATAAACAGTATTAGTATAAACTGTTTTAGTTTGAACGTGAATATTTAATGATTTCATGCAATATACCCTAAATTACAATAGAAAATTCAACATTACACAATGGGGCAATAATTAAGAAAACAATTCAATTACACAAAAAAGTTAGGCGGTTAACTATGAGCTAAGGGCTTAAAAGGTTAACTTGGTAATTTGATAAAATAAGAAGGGTATACAAAAAGTTAAAATGATATAAAGTTATTAGAAGATTACAAACACCATCTTGATGCTAACAGTATTTAGTAATCATGACTGTTATATTTTTAGGAGTACTTAGACTTATCTTTTGCCCTTCCGGCATGATTGTTAGGAATAACTCATGCCCAGTTTTACCTTCCATCTGCTTGGCTTAGTGGAACATCAGAATTAATGTTATATTACAAGACAAGTGACAGGGGAGTCAATAATTACACCAAATATTTTCTAGGAAACAAGGTGAAAACCTTCAGGTTTATACAATAAGTATTAAAGACTAATGAGAAGATACTTTCACATTTTTTTTAAAGAGACTAGAACATGCTATTTTTAAGCTGTCATTTAAGGTCTTAACTAGCAATTTGGGTGTATTTTATTTTGATGTACTTTACTGATAAAAGTCAACTCCTTATGACAAGAGTAAGTTCTTGTCCTGTTGTTTAATATATTCAGTTTGCATGATGAAATTAATTTAGAACTCACCCTGACAGAAATGGGTGTCAGTGGTCTTGAAACCAGGGCTTTTCTACAATTCCAGGGCTGTGGAACTGATTGAGAAAGAGCGGAATCCTCCGCAGAAACAAGCTAATGCTGAAAGACAAAAACCTTTACTAGCCACTCACAAAATCAAGCCTGATTGAAAAATTTTAAGTATTTCTTCCTACTAAGCCATTGTGGCCATTCTGAAATACCTAAATACATATATAGAAGACTCAAAAAGTTATTTGTATGTGTACATATTCATAGGAGGCAAAACTACCAAAGGCAGTTTTAATCTACTGTCACTGCATGAGCTCCTTTGCTTGGGAGATACAGGGAAAATTTATCAGCTGCTGCTCTAGTAAGATATAAAAATGAAGACCTACTTATATTGTCAAGAAAGTAAGGAGAAAGAATGATTAAAAAGCAACAAAAAGCTGTGGTTTTGTACCTCAAGTAAACATCACATGCCTGGAATGATATAAATCTTATGAATTAGACTTTTGATCACTGTGATAGTGAAGAGCAGAAAAGTGAACTGTGTACTAACTGCAGGGGGAAAGCAGGGAAGATACAGTAAGGAAACCATCTTTCAGGACAGTAGGGAGAATGACGTCACTGCTATAGAAGAGCGTAAATAGTTTTTAAGTCCCATTTACTTTCACACAGTAACTTTACAGTGGGCAGAACAGGCTCTGTTTGGTGTTCTACTGTGTGTCGTAATAAAACAGATGAAGGTACAGTCTTGTCAGTCACTACTTTACAAACAAGGAAAGCAAGATATAGAAAGAAGAGTTATTGGATAATCCATTAAATACTAGAAATAGGAATGTCTCTAGTCCTGAAAAAAGACTAGTAGGCCTCAAATAGGCATCAACCTTTGGCAATGTAGAAAATAACCAGTATTCACTACTAATAGCCCTTAAATCATCAGATCAAAAAGAAGCTTAAACTTTAAAATCTTAAAATGGCAGATCTATAGGACTCATTTAAAATATTTTACCATTATGAACTTAAGAACAATTCTTAATTAGAACTTTATTCATATTTCTAAATAACATACCAGAACATAATAACTCCTTCCCCTTCTTTCTTTAACAAAGCTAAGGAAAGGAAGGATCAGCCTTAGCATCCAATTTGTTAGAATATTTAAAAGGCACTCTCAATACAGAGAATGCTAAAGCACCATTCAAAATAAGTTTTTCCTTGGTAACACACATGCTTTAATTTAACCAAGTAGGAAAATAATTTACTTTCTATATCCATCTATGCTATTCATTCACTAAAAGCTAAACATATACAGTAGCTGGTTCCACAGCCATAGAATTGAGAAAAGCCAGGAAGTGACACTGAAAAAATAAATGAAACTGTGATAAGTACTCTCAAGTATTAACCACCAAAATGAGATAAGGTTAGCCAGCAGAAGTATTGCACTAAATCATGATATTGGTTGATTCCAATATCAGAACCTACAGAAAGCTAATTATACATATGACTGAATCTTTTCTAAGATTTGTACATAACTCTAAAACTTTTCTGATATGTGACAATTAGCTGATTTCATCAGAATATAACTTTAAAATCATTACATTTGTTTCATTTGACTTGAAATTTAGAACATTAACCTTGGGATCTAGACTGTGGGGTCATCTAACACCCAAAAACAAATTTTAAAGGACTTCTTGATTGTACCTATAACCAAATATTTATATAGGTTTATGCTGATTTTGATTAGAATCTGTTCTTTAGCAGACAGAATTAGTTAGATCAGATTTTTCATGTTCTTTCAGTGGTGCAAGGTAAACTTCAATTGCGTTAACTTTAATGATGAATGTGGACAAACTTTATGCAATGAGTTTACCAACCTGAATAAGAATAACGATGCCAAAAAGTTAAACCAAAATAGTTTTCTATAAAAATAAAACTGTTCTCTGATGATCCATTTTAGTTAAAATAAATACATTTCATTCTTTAAATAATTTAACATAGTCATCCATTGTAATACTTTTCATTTTAGAAATAAAAACTTGGAGAACAAGTAAATATAGACAAGTTGGCTATGAACTTAGGATGACTAAATAACTGGACCAAGTGAACCATAATTTATAACTCTTACCTAAATACAAATCCATGGACCCTCACAGTACTCTCTCATTTTTAGAAAATATATATTTAGGGTATATTTACCCATTCCAGGAAAGTTACATATTTGCATTATGTATCTTTCATATTTTTACTTTGTCAAAAATAATTTTTCATAATTGGAGTCCATGAATGGATTAAGGCGACATGATCTTGGTAGAAATGGCTGATTAATGTGAACACATCAGTAGCCCCCTTAAACCATCCATCACCTTGCGCTTCTGTTGGGCATAGCTCGTGCTATATTGGCCAGCAGCTCTGCGTGCTTCTTCTTCATGTTCTTGAATTTGCTGTTGTAAGAGAATGAGCTCACCAAGCAGACCCTGCCATGAGTTTATAATGAGGAGAAGAGGAAAATTGGGGAGGAGAACAATGTTAAACCAAAGGGCACAAGAAAGGAACAGATGTAAGTTAGGGAGGAATGGACAGCATATACAAAAAAAATGGAAACATTTATGTACTGTTAGAGCCACTATATATCTGGGCTGTGTACCACATTTCCATTTTTTCCCTCGGTAAAATAAGATGTCTCAGAAATATAAAACAGCATAGTTTAAAAAGTGAAAAGGAAAATGCAGTAAGTGACCATTTGCTGAATAAAATGAATCAGATATATAATACTCACCTACAGTAAAACCTAGACTAACCCGAATGCTCAAGAAAGATGGTGCTGTAATTCATTATCTAAATTTCCTAGTAATAGGAAACACAAGAAAACAAATACCTCAACACCTATTTTTGAATTGCCTATATGAACTAGTGTATGCTCTAGACTTGATACATATGGGGGAAAAATGAAACAGTTCTTGAACAGTGTTGACCTCATAGGCTTAAATCTTTTAATTGTCAACCATAATTCTCACAGGACTGAATGGAGGATACAAAAGGGTATATTTACTTATTAAATTATTATTTTAAGAGTGGAATTCCTGCTGCTGAGAACAGGGGGCTGCTGGGAACAGGACTTCTATGACAAATATGTCTGGAAGGCTGTGGTCCAAGGCCATTTTGCTGGCTTATAAGAGGGGTCTCTGGAATCGAATCAGAGGACGCACATAGCTCTTCTTAAAATTGAAGGTGTTTATGCTCAAGGTGAAAATGAATGCTCTCTAGGCAAGAGCTGTATTTATGTGTACAAAGCAAAGAACAACACAGTGACTTTTGGTGGCAATTGAACAAAACCAGAGTAATCGGGTGAAAGGTAACGGAAATAGAGCATGGCTCATGCTAAATTCAGAAGCAACCTCCTTTCTAAGGCCACCAGACAGAGAATCTGTGTGATGCTGCACCCCTTAAGGACTTAAACATTGAAAAGCAAATATATAAAATAGATCTATTGTCCTGTGTTTTTTAAAAATATACATTATTTTAAGTGAATATTTTTCTTGATATCTTATGTCTTCAACTAAACATTATAGTTCCTCAAAACTATTAATTTGAGTTTCTGAGCATTAAGTTAATCAAGATTTTACATTAATCCATATATTCTACATGCCTATACACACAAGCATACTTGACTAACATTTAGAGTTTTTCTTTTTGCAAATTAAAAAATAATGTTTTAGGCACTGTTTTAACTTTACACAACACCAAATTAAGTAGTTTGACTAAATTTTCACTTTTTATGAGCTGTTTTGACATTAAATAAAAATATCCTCAGAGAATATAGCATGTATCAGTTACTTAAGCAAAAGCACTATAAAAGAACACAATTAAGATATGGAGATAATATAATTATTATAAAAATTAAAAATGAGTCCTGGTCAGTGTGGCTCAGTTGGTTCGATATTTCTCTCTACCCCCCACTATTCCTCTCTGAAATAAAAATAAATAAAAATGAAACAAAACCCAGTTTGGACCTATGCACAAAATAATCACCATTTCTACATTTAAAATTCATTCCATTTAATAATCATGAAATGTTAACCCGGTGCAGTTTTTATCACCATATATTATTCACATGTGGCATGATATTAAAATACATGTAATTTTCTGTACATTTTAATTCTTGACCTATTAGATAAATGAGCTTAAGAAATGTGGAAGAAAAGACAATTAAGAATTGACAATGTCACAAACCTAATATTTTCTCAATTAGAAACCCCAAAAAGACTTAAGTTCCAATGAACAAGGTCAGTAATTTGCACGAGAATAGTGTTCTGGGAGAACAATGGGTTCAATATTTACTAAATTATAAAAATAAGAGTTAGAAAAACTAATACTCATTAAAATAATCTAAATTAGGAGTTTCAGATGGCTTCAGCGTGTTTTAAAATAACTGTCAAAAATATTTTGTATTTTTAAAAATACCTTTAGAAAGTCTCTTAAAATAAAATAGATTCAAATTTTAATTAGTAGCCTCATCCAGAGACTTTATAACTTGGTTTATTTCGTATAATCCAAAAACTTAAAAAGGTTTTCAGAAAATATAAATACAAACAAAAAACACATTTTAAATTAAGGGGAAGTATTATCATATAATTTGGGGATTTTTATTTTGTTTGATTCTTAGTTTTAATACTATTTAATGAGACTATTATTATTGTCAATAATAACAGCACTGGCTAACTTACTATAAATCAAAGGATGAAACTAGTTGATATTTCTGCAGGATAAGTAAGAGAATATCAAAGTGGTAACATAAATGAAATTTCAACATCTGTTTCCAAATTCAACTATATAAAATATATTTATAAAAACCTTATCTATAAAGATATATCTTTCAAATAAATACTTTTATGGTCATTGATAAGTCTACAAAAGAAAGACAATGCCAACTCACTACCCTCATCATTCCCATAATTTTTTATGTCATTTTCAATTTTTTGTATCATTGCTTTTCATCAAACAGAAAGATCCAACTTATTTTTATTCCAAATCCAACTTATTTTTATTCATTTAGTCTCTTATTGTAGTTATTTCTTATAATTATCCACGTATTTAGATTTCTCAAAACAATTCCCTTTTAAAGAAGGGAATTCCCATATTGGCTCATATAGTAGTGTACCTGTGCTTTAACTAACATACCAACCAGTATTCTAATTTATACAGTGCCAAAGCAGTGATAAAATATTCCACATTTCTTAACTGTGCTGGTCTATCAGCCACCCTATTCTTTTTTATTGAGAGCTTAAACACCCTTCCCTAATTCATTGCTTATATCTAAATATAAACCATGGTAAATACTCTACTATCTATTATATAACAAGAAAACACCCTCTTTCTAGTGACACTTTACTTTTCTTCCAAGTCTGTTACTGAAGGAAGCACTGTAATGTCAATATAGTTGAAACTAACTGTTACCTCCTGAAAAAAGTAGGAAAAAAACACACAAAAAACAAGAATTAGACATAGAAAAAGCTATTTACATCATGCTACATGACTAAAGGATATTACCCTTATCCAGTTTTAGGCACAAATCTCACCCCACATGCCCAGTGGTAGGCTATACAGCTACTAAGGTAAGGCCATGTGGAATACGAAGGGGAAGAAATATGTGTCTCTACTATACAAGATATACTCCGTTAATGGATAAAACACATTTTTTTCAATAAATATTTTCCCAAGCTCAAACATTTTTCTCTCAAAAAATAGCAAATATTTTTATATGATATATATTATGTATAAAATAATTATTATAACAATAAAGTTATTGTAAACAACTACAGATGATATACTCTCTAAACACCTAGCTACTGTCAGCTTGACATTGTAGCTCTCAGTCTCATACTTCATGTATCATGTTCTCAGTTTTTAAAAATATTATAATGTCAGATCAAGAAAATCAGTGATAACTCCAGAAACCAAAATATCAACCAAAAATACTGCAAAAACCTAAAAGTTGATGAGTTTGGTAGAAAGAAATGTCTAGTAATCTTGAAATTGTAAGTCAAGATTATAAGGTGAGTACCTTTAAAATACTGTATTTTTAACATATTTAAAAATTATAAAGCAGAGTAGGGCCCCTATTGTGTTTGTTTTTATACCTATTATCTAGCAGTATGCCCAACATGTTGGATGTGTTTAAGCCAGCAACTAGAGTAGGGCTTAAAACATGTCTGTGGCTTAAATGAATCAAATTTCAACCTACTTTTACTTAATACTGCATGCAAAGTTTCCAGCATAAAATCTAAACTGGTTTCTTATAAAATGTAGATAAGCTAAATATAAACCCTACTGATACTGTTTTAATAACCTGGTTATTTAACAGGAAAAGAACAAAGGGAGGACTAGATAGTACAGGCATGTCATTTATACAGCTTTGCTAGGAGGCTGCAGTTAACACTCTCCAGATCTGTTCCTCATAGATCAGTGGGGAAAGGGACTGGACAAAGGCAGTTTAGACACATGCCCAGTAAGATCTGAATAACATGGGAAGATGCTTGCCTGTCAGTCAGACCTAGGAGTAAGTCATTGACCAGAATAGACGTGGCCACCATAAGGGTACAAAATCTGAGATACATAAGCTCCTAAACAAAGGAATTTCTCTTTCTTGTTTTCTTGCCTCTACCTCTGCTTGCCTGTGCTCCTGGCTCTCTGGTTGCAGGGGGAGTGTTCCCCTACATTCGCCAACATGGCTTATGGCCATATGGCACCCATACAATGGACTGATGGACTATGACTAGCCTGATGCCTGATGCTAAATGGGACTCAACTCCACTATGGAATGAAAACTCTAGACACTGGCCCTGTTTCTATAGCTCTATTGAAATCCTAGCTGCATGTCTTCCAGGACTGGCTTAAGGAGAATGATACTTTGCAACTCGAGGGATATAACTCCATGCAAATAAAGCTTTTTACCACATCTCTTTCTCCCATGCGAGTCTTAGAAAATTTATATTCTCAAGATATCGCAAGAACTCCACTCCCACTAGTGATGGAGAAATTGGACCCACTCATTTCCCTGACAACACTACAACTCATTTTTCCATTTTTTACAATACCCAGAACAGATTCCACAGAGATTAAGGGGAAGAAAATTAATTAAATATGTTAATACGCTATAACACACACTAAAAGTGTAAGATAACAATGATCACAATCATCATTATCATCCTAATAGCCCATATTTATTTAATTTTATTATGTGTCAGATATCATGCTAAAGGGCTTTCCATAATCCTCACAACAACCTTATCAGATAGGGTTTCCTCTTTTACAGAAGAGTAAGCAGAAACTCAGAGGAGCGAGGGAACTTGTCCAAAGTCACACAGCTCAGAAAGCAGAAAAGGCAGGATCTGAATGCAGGCACTGTGACTGACCACAAAGTCTGCACTTGATACCATCCTGTTAGCACTTTGGTCTCACTATTTTCAAAGTACTTTTGACCCTTCAGGCTCAATCTACATTTTCCTTTAATCCTCATCTGCGGATATTTTTCCATTTATCGTCAGATAGAGTGGGAGGGAGGGAAGGAGGGAGGGAAGGAGGGAGGGAGGGAGGGAGGGAGAAAGAGGGAAAGAGAAACATCAACATGAGAAAGACACATCAACTGGTTGCTTCCCACACTGGTTGCTTCCCACAGGACCCAACTGGGGCCGGGGACTGAACTGCAACCAAGGTATGTGCCCTTGACCAGAATCAAACCTACAACTCATTGGTCTGCGGCCCCATGCTCTAACCGCTGAGCCAAACCAGCCAGGGCTCAATCTACACTTAAAAGAACAAGCAGGCTGGCTGAGTAGTCCACAGAGACCTTCTGGCCTGCAAACTTAAAATATTTATTATCTGGCCCTTTAAAGAAAAGCTTGCCAACCCCTGCTATACTAGTTTTATAAGTAACTTGGGGCCAGAAAAGAATTTCATGAAAATGAAAACATCTTTCTCCTTCTATTTAAAAAATATTTCTAGTCACTAAACTACGTCTCAGTTTGAATAATTCTGCTATTTGACTAGTGAAAAAGAACTATTTTCCTTTTTTTTTCTCCCAGTAATATAAAACTGTTCATGATATGTACAGAGAACTGAAAATGTTTATTATTGGTTATCAGAAGGAAATGCACCTTTCGACTTGGATTATTTAACTTGCTTCAATTCAGAAATACCATATCCAACTTTACTACTTGGACAATTTCTACAAATAATAACTTTAAGAGATAACAAGTCAGTATATTAGCAATAGTATTATGAATATTATAATTTCTACCAAATCCCCTTCTAAATTTCCTATGCAGTGTTATACTTAATGTTTATACTTGATAAACATTTATACACAGTATATACTTAATGCTTTTTTAAGTGACATAAAAATGCAGTATGCATACTAGTAAGGAATAAAATAAGGTTGCCTGTTTGGCACTCCTCTTCATGCAGATCTTCGCTGCTTTTCTTCCTCTGACCCCTCTGCCTCCCATCCTCGATACTCCAACACACAAGTGATTTGGCTTCCTAGCTAAGAATCTTACCAAGCATAAGTTGCTAGCTGTTAGATGCTTAGGCAACTCAAGTGTCCTGAATCTTAGTTACCTGATGGTGCTGGTTGTGAGAATTTCATTTTCTTACCACATCTGTTACATACAGAATCCAGAAATGTAAATAGTGCTTAAGCAACACTGCTTTGTTACAATTCAGTTACATGTGCTACCTTCACATTATTCTTTTCCTCGATAGCTGCCAAATACTGAAGGCTGAGAGAAATTCACAGGTAACCAGAGCAAAAAGACATATTACATAACATCTTCAGGCCCACTCTTGTTGGCATCAATAAAATTTCTTACTTTAAATTAGCCTTTCTTTTACTGAGTTTAAATCAATCAACAGATTTTGCTAAGAGCTCAGCACCATCCTAGGTACTCTGAGAACAGAGATTTTGTGGTAGAAATATTCCATCAATAGTAAGAATGCAAACCAAAATAGATAGTGTTGCATATGGCAAGTGTTTCAAATGTTGAGTATAATTAATGAAACTAAAATGACTATAGAAGCGTAATGAATATGACAACTAAACTGGGCTTTAAGGATGAGTAATTAGGCTACTTCAGCTGAGAGATATAACATAAGCCACACAAGTAGGAAATAAAATAACATGTGGAAAGGAAGAGCAGTCATGTATTCCTGTTTAATAATATATTTAAAACAGTAATACCACTTTTAATAAACTAGACTTTTAAAAGGTCCTCCAAATATTTTCTATAAATTATAATTGTGCTTGTAACCTTCAGAATAACCATATTCCTTATTTCTGTGATATGTTTATGACCAATAAGAAACATGATTTTTAAAAAGGCACAAATAATAAAATGTCTCACTTAGCAAATTTTCACTAGAACACAACCTTACTGAATCCAAAAATGGAGAACACTTGTCACCTATAATGTATTATGACCAACATACAGAAATCTACTGATAAATTAATTCACTAAAACAGGCTCACCACTCCAATTTCTAACTTGTTTTCAGTTAGCTCTAAAGGTCTCCAAGTCTCAAAAATATTATTCAGTTCACACGAAGCGCTCTTTCTAATATTTTAAAGAGGACACAAGTTAAAAATGTTTGATTAACAAAAAGCATTTATTAAAAAGTGGTTTCAGTATTTTTCAATTTTTTATTTATTAAAGATACATATCAGAACTTTTCATCAACATAACACAAATAACTACTTTCCAGAAACTGAATGGATATAAATCCAGGCAAAATCAAAGAAACTTGATGTCTAGTTAGCCCATACATTGTTATGTGCAAAGATCGCTTTCTGCCGACTTTCTGAAGACCTCCATTACAACTTTCCAGAACACCTGTAAGTCTAGTGACCCCAGACTGGGAACCACAGGTAATCATTTCATCATGTTGTTCCTTCTGTCTGACTCAAGTCAAACAATCTGACATGTGTTCCCTCAACTCCCCGTCACTTTCACATCAGTTGACTTTGAAAGGTCCTAACTGTTCCTCTACTTTCCAGCACTTCTCCAGATGTGTTCTCCTATTAGAAAGCACAAATCTTTTTTTTAGTTCTAGTTGTAGAAATGTTTTCAATTTATTACTATTATTTTAAAATATCTGATTCACACTTACTTTTACATTTCTAGTAGAAGTCTAGCCAGAAATGTAGGTACACACCAGAGAAACATTAAGCTAAGGCATGACTGCTTCAAACCCCGAGTACCATTTTCGATCTGGAGCTCTCAGACACCACACTGAACCAATCAAAAGATATCAGCTAAATTCTGGCTGCTATCCTACCAACTTTGATCACTGCCCAAATTTTCAAACTTGATGTTTTACAGTAATTTCAAAAAGGCTAGGACTAAGCTATAAGGTCTCTCCTACCTTACATCATCAATTTGTAGCCAGGTCTCCTACAATCAGTTTTTCTACATCTTGTCTGAATGGTTCATTATTTCCAAGTATCAAAAGTAATAGTCAAGCCTTGATACTAAAATGCCGCATATTAACAGAATTAAAACCATTAGTAGAGGCTAAAAATGCTTTTTCCGTATAGTAATTTTTTATAATAGCATTTGCTACAATTTGATTTAGCCTATAAAAAAGCAGCTTAATTCCAACTCTAGATTTAGTATTTACAACAGATAGTTGAAAATAATAATTGGTGAGTTTTTTATGAGCAAGATAATCACTATAAATTAAGAAAGAAAATGGTCTTCAAACAAGCAAAGGAATAAATTATAAAATAAAGCAATAAATTTGCTTTCATGTCTATTGCATAAAATCAAATCTATAAATATAATTAAATTCCCTGAGATCCAAATATTTTATTGCTTATTCATTTATCACCTTCGTAGAATGTTAAGGGAATTATTTGAGTCAGGCCCTGAAAATAGGTTTCTCATTCACCAAAACAATCCAAGGCTGTATCAGAGAAAAGCAGAGATGCTGACCTCCACTATGTAATCTAGGCAACAAGAAATCTTATTACTTGAAAACACACTACCATATCTGTAACAGAGGCTCCTTCTCCCCACTTAGATTAGCTCCTCTCTGTAAAGTAGGTCTACTTATACATGAAAGGTCAAGGCCTCAGCTCAAAATAAGCTGTGCATAGTTGGCTAATTTCCATTCATTTTTTTCTCACTAGTAGTATGAATAGTCAAGGGTATCCCTCGATTATAATAAAATCAATGTAAAAGATATAAAGAAAGATCAAGTTAAAAGGCAAATGCACAAGTGCACACACACACATATTTCGAAATATATTTTCTCCAAAAGATCAAGTTAAAAGGCAAAAGAAAAAGATAACTTTTGAAATATAATTAAAATTTGGAATATTATGTAAAAAGTTCAAAGTTAAAGGAAAAGGAGAGAGAACCCTACAGATAGAAATTATTTTCTTCCTGCTTCTCAAATCAACACAAAATAATTTCTTTCAATGTATTAAAACCATAATAACCTTCAGTATAAAAGCTACATAGTCCATATTTAATTTTAAAATGTTCAGAGTATTTTTCCAGACATCTCTCTATTTAGACATATATTTTTTAATATTCATGGAATCAGGTATCTTACCAGTTCCAAAGTATAAAAAAAGACTAAGAAAAATGTAAGGTTAACATATGAATATAAATACAGAGCAGTGTATGTTATTCTACACAAGCAATTCTCTTAAAACTTTCATATTAATTTTGTTAATGCATGTGTTGAAATCGACAAACTCTAAATAACCCCATACATAATTTGGTTGACTATCAATGTAACAGAATTTATTCCCTAATAACCTGCTTCCTAGTCCCTTAATATTTCCCCTAAGTATATTCCATAACATTGGTCCCTAGAAGACATTTAATGAAAAAGGGCTCTGCTGCTAAATAAATCTGGAAAACCCTGTACATTTTGCCTTCTCTTGAGGCTTCACATTAAGATCTGAGAAATCCCAGGGAGAAGAAAAAAGCCTGCTTGTTTTATTTATACACGCTTCTCCCCCACATATAACAACAAAACCCTTAGTTAGGGACAAACCATTGAAACTAATATTTCACAGCATGTATTTAAAAGAAATAGGCTTCTCCAATTATATTTTTAAAACTGCTATATATACCTTGCATTTTGTACCAAGGTCTGTAACAATACTCTACTTAGGTGTTTTATATTTGTTCCTTCAGATGTTACCATTTTCAAGTCTTGCAGGTAGGTTAAAAACGTCTTAAAAATCTTACAAGACTACCTAGGTGAAGAATTCTCCTTTATACTTACCTTTCTATAATGCTTGTCACTTTCAGATCCATGATCTGTAGCTCTAAATGTGGTTTCTCCAGATGAACCTTCAAGATAAATATGCAGTCCTTTAAACTATCCAGTGATGTCAATAATCTAAACTAAATTTCGAATTGTGTTTAGTTAAGATGGCCCCCATTTTCTCCTCTTTTTCCCCGCCTCCACCCAGGCCCTGCCCAAACCCAGGCCTTCACCACACTTATGTGTGTGTCTATGGGCTATGCATATATATGTGTGTGTTCTTTGGTTAATCTCTTCCTGTCTCCTCTAGCGCCACCCCCCCAACCCCCCTGCAATCTGTCATTCTGTTCCATGCATTCATGTCTCTAGACCTATATTGTTCATCACTTTATTTTGTTCATTAGATTCCACATATAAGTGAGATCACATAATATTTGTCTTTCTCTAACTGGCTTATTTCACTTAGCATAATAATCTCCAGGTCCATCCATGCTGTCACATTTAATAATGAATGATTTTTTTTAAAAAGGTAAGTGGACGTTAGAGTAAATACAACTTTTTTTTGAAAACTATTCTTACTTTAAGGAAAATACTGGTAACCTAGGCAAAAAAAAAATTTTTTTTAAATTGTAGGCCATGTTTAACCTATTTTTTAAAGTACCACTAAAAATTACAATAAAAAATAAAATAATTTTTGATAAGAATTATTTTACAAGAATGTACTTACAGTTCGGCCATATATCACTGCCATTATGTAAAGATTATATATATTAAAAAATAAATTTTAAATGTCACCTATGATAGTAAAGATGAGACAAACTAAAATTACTTTTCATTTCAATTATCAAAAATAATCAGAACAATTTCAAGAAAATATTCTGGTAAAGCAAACTCTCTTTTTAATAGCTTTACTCTTAAAATACAGAAACATATTTAAGAATTTTAGTTTTACTACAAAATAATTACTTTATTATTTCCACCTAAAGGAGAATGAATTTGCTCAATATAGTTCTGGGGTTTGAAATTTAGCATAAGCGGCATTATAAATTTGGTCTGAAATTTTATTTGCAAGTAGTTTATTAGAAGCATTTAGAAGGCATATCAAGATCAGCAAAAACGTCTGTTTACACACCTAACAAGAGAAGTAGGTCAGAAGCTCCTATGACTTCACTAACCAATTTGTGACCTGTGAAAAATCAGCAAAAGGGGAAATAGAAATGTAAAACTTTAACAGGAATGAGCAAACAAAGATGTCTCAGATCTCAGGTGTATATCAAGATAGGGCAGTAATTAGGCAAATACACCAGATTAACCTTAGTAAATTCTACTCATTATAGTCCATCATAATAAAATTTGTTTTAAAAATCATCAAACTGGCTCTAACCAATTATGAAAAGCAAACACATAGGAAGTCTCATCTACTTGTCAAGAACAAATGGTATTTTTTTCCTTACTGACTAAGACCTAGCTTATTTAAGTTGTGACAAACTTTCATTCTGTTGGGCTAAACAAAAGTTAGAATCACTGCACAACAAAACTTTGTTTATATATGTGTGTGTGTATATATATGGATATATATATATATTTTTAAACCTGTTTCATTTGTATTAAATGTTTTCATTTAAAAGATGGAAATAAACAAATGGATATATCTAATGATTTTTCCTCTGTGGTCCCTGACATTTTAAATGAGTCCTTCCTTACCTGTGGTGAAAAAGTCCTTCAATAAGCTGAGGCTTTCAACAATCTTGTCAAAGTCAGGAGCCAACTTTGCAAGGTCCTCTGAATTAGGAAGGGCTTTTTTAATTTTCTCTGAAGATAAAAAACAAACAAACAAAAAATACCACCTCATTCACAGTCCTAAAGTAATAATTTGACTATTAAAACATTAATAAAATTTAAATATCACCATATATAAATTTAAATTAAAACCCTTTCTTATTTTCTCCCTATTACAAGTATTGCTGCTACAAACAAAGTGTCCCAAAAAAATGTATACAGGGCGACTGTAGATTCTATTACATTTTGAAAATGAAATGTACTTCAATAAACACTGGCTTTATAATTATTCAAAGTTGTATATACATGTACCCTATGTATCTAAAACAATGTGTTATTCTGATGATATTCCATAAGCCCTAGTATTTTTTATAAAAGATTCACCAAAAACATATGGTTTAGATGAAGACCTTTTATTTATAAGTTAAATGGCTTGAGACAGAAGCACTATATTAACAACTGTAACACTGGACTGGAATCAGAAGTACTTTTTGGGAGGAAACCACAGCAAAGAGGCAATACATCAAAGAAAAAAGAGAAGAACATCTCTCATAGTCCCTGGCCTAACTAAAAAATGTGATCACATCCCAGTTCAAATTGAAGAACAGAATTCCATTACTTCTCCACCTCTTTTAGTCCCTGTTACCAACTGGAAATAATTAAGAATCCAAGGCAAGCTTTTACTTTATTTTAGCTAGCTTTATTTATAAAATGGTCAAAGTATTTATTTTTGTTTTAAAAACATTTAACAATTATGTCCAAGTCTAGTACAACTTTAAAGGGTCTTCTGAATTAGGAAGGGCTTTGCTCATTTTCTCTGGAAAAGACCAAAATGCATAAATATTCTCAAAATAAGAATATATTCTATGTACTGTAAAAGCATTAACTTGCTTACTCTTCAGAGCAACTCTACAAAATAGCTATCATCAACTCCACTTTCCATATGAGGAACACAGAGGTTATGTAACTGGACCCAAGCACACAGCAAAGAAGCAAGGGAGTCAAGGTTTAAGCCTAGGCAGTCTAGGTTCAGAATCTAGGCTTCTCATACACCATGGTACAGGCAAATGTATCAAATTAAAAACCAATCCTCATGCACATTAGAAAAATAATTTGAAAGAGTACTTTTCCTGTAAAGACCTTTGTCAATACAGCATCGTTTTATCTTTTAGAAAGTGCTGTGAATAAGTGTATGTAAATATTAATTCCACCCCAATATACACCTAAGCTAAGAAATTAAACAGTTTTTAAAAAGAGACTGAGGAAAATAATTTCATCCAAAAAATTTTTTTAAAGATCACCATAACTTATTGACAATCACAACTATCAAATACACTTTTTCTCACCTACCTATTGTTAGAAGAAAGGGGCAGTGGCTGACTACAGGGAGAAATTACTCTGGACACTAGAAAACTTTCAAAGAACCTGGTTACCACAATACAGGTAACCAAGGTATCCTATAAAAAAAGAGTAGTTAAGTGGGTTACGGTGCATCAGTTCTGGGTAACGTACAACACTGAAAATGATGTTTGGGAAGATTGCTTGGCAGTATGGAAAATGCTAACAAAATCTGTTAGGTAGCACAAGATAAGATACTGAAGTGTACGGCCACTAAAATATTAACCACATACACAGAATTGGTACAATTAATATAGAATTCTCCATAAAAACAGCGGCAGCTTTGTTAAAGTGAAGGACTAGTGGATACTTTTATCTTCTCATAAATTTTTTCTTAGATATTCTATTATTTTTATCATTAAAACTACACATTAAGCTCACAACTTAGGAAACTATCTCAACACAATTGATTCTCTTTCCTATAGATATGATCAAAAAAATATTTTAATGTTGATAATACAAACCTAAATCAATATACTCATCAATCTCCCAAACAATGTCAGGCACAATCCATTTATAGTCACTAAGGTCTGGTATCATATCTTTCCATTGATCAAAAGTCTAAAAGATAAGAAAGAATGACAGTCAAATGCTCTGAATGCCATATAAAAAAATAAGAAACACTATTTTAATTTATTGAATTAAAACATGCTAATCTACTAAGAGTGACACATTATGTCAGAAAGTTTTAGAAACAAAGTAGCCTCAACTCTTCTCAAAACAAATTAGCAGGCAAGCACATAAAAATGTAAATGTTCCTTTATTAAATATGAAAAATGTAAAAATTCAAAATATATTCTCATTTCAAACAGGTTTCATGATGTGGCTTTAAACAATACTGTGGAATAGAAGGAAGACAGACCAGGGGTCAGGACACCTTGCCTCTGGTCTTAGCCAAGAAGTGGCTGCATGAATATACCACTTAAGTTTCCTATCTGTGGTACTAAATGGCAAAGCTGAAAATCAAACCAAAGTGTTCTCACTCCAAGCACAGTGTTCCTGCCACCAGGCCTTTTTTTAAAATTTCATTTGAAAATATGTGTTTTTTAACTGATTTTAGAGAGAGAGGGAGGGAGGGAGAGAGAGAGGAACATCAATGGGATGCCTCCCATACACACCCTGACTGGGGATTGAACCTGAGATCCTTCAGTGTGCTGGTGCACTGGATGACATTTCAACCAACTGAGCCACACCAGCCAGAGCTCCACTAGGCCATTTTTAACTCCAGTAATTATAACTAAGATTTGGAAGGCATTTTCCTATTACTATTCACACCATTAAAACTATCTATCATAGCCCTGGCTGGTTGGAGTGTCCTTCTGTGCACTGGAAGGTCATTGGTTTGACTGCGGGTCAGGGCACATATCTAGGTTGCAGTTCAGTCTTGGTCAGGGCCTGTATCATCTTTGTCACATCGATATTTTCTCATCAATGTTTCTGTTTCTCTCTCTCTCTCTCTTCCTCCCTCTCTAAGATCAATACATGAATAAAAATCTAGCATACAGTAGAGATACAATAAATATTTAAACATCCAATTATATTTTATTGCACTAAAGAAAAATTACTTATGCTATAAAACCTTACAATAATCATGTTGAAAAACTGGAAAAGCAGTAAGGAAAGCTAAACTCACCTTTTTGGCTGTATAGCCACCCCCGACAGCAGATCCCAGTATGAGATATCGAAGTTTTAAGAGTCTTGCAGCTAATCTCGCTGGCAAAAAATTCCTGCGGGGCTGGTAGCCATATTTAACTGGAGAAAGTTTCAATTTACGTAAAGGAAGGTTAGTTAAAGAGGAAAACTGCTGAAATGATGTCCTGAAGTGGGGTCTTTGAAGCTTTAAGGTAGGATGACGTGAATGGTAAATACTTCGTGAAACCAGATGCACTTTTTGTAGTGGTAGTCTTCCTTTTATTCCAGAGCTATGTTTCACTAAGGATTGGCAGACCTCACTGAAAGAAAAATGGGTATGGGAAAAAGATTAGACAGGGTAACAATGCAAAGGAAATGATATAAAAAGAGCAATATACAAAAGGAAAAACACACATCACAGCACATGTGGTCAACCACACTATGTCATACAATAGCTTACATTTATTAATCATTTGCTATGTGCCAAGCACTGTTGCAGCATGAGCTACCTCACATAATCCTGCTGATAATTTTGTGATGAAATTATCCCCATTTCACAAACAAGGAAAAGGTGGCACATAGATGAAAATTACTTGCCTAAACGCACACTGATAGAAGGAGTAAAGGTGGGATTCAAACCCAGGCAGTGGGACTCTGGAGGTCCTCTAATTTACTATGTGTGGGCTAAGATCCTGGTTCAAAGAATTGAAATGGAAAAGAAATATGGCGGAGACTTTTTATTAATGCTTTTCACTCTAAGTAAACATTGAAAACAAAATGCATGCAAACTTTTGCTTTCTAGCATAAAACTCCAGCAGCTTAGAACAGCTATTCTTTGCCCACTCATTTATATCTAACAATGATGAGATAATCCAGGGATTGAAATTAAGGAAAAATCATTAACACCTTAAGCATATGGTTCCCCAGAAAAATGAAGGTAGCCAAGACCAACCAAACAAAAAAACACTAAAAGAGAAGAGAAACTAAATGTACACCTTACTGTGAGCTCTTCCCTCTTCTCCTTCCTGGCAGAGAATGAAAATTTAACACCAATAACCACATGCTTGATCATTTATCTTACTCAATACACATTCATAGTGCTTACTATGTACAGGCCAGGCACTGTCCTAAGTAGTTTTAAAATATTAATTCATTTAATTACATTAGAGTAGAAACTTCTTAAGAAAAATAATCAAGGGACACACAATTTGTGAAGGACAATGGGGGACAGAAGGATATCTAAATGCCAGGCGTTACGCTAGATGTATTCACAAATGCTAACTTTAATGCTCAGAAAAACCCCACATGGTAAGTACAGTCGTCCGTCACACTTCGCACTTCGACTTTTGCGGCTTCACTCTATCCCAGTTTTTCAAACATTATACTACTGGAAAAAAACGTGATAGAGCGAGGGGCAACTGTATAGAAATAAAGAACCCTACTTCACGGAAATTAATTTATCACGGTAGAGTCTGAACTGATTAACCGTGATAAACGAGGGCTGACTGTATCCTTCTTTTACCCATTTGCTTTTTGAAAGTGTCTTGCCCAAGGAAAAATGACTAGTAAATGATGGAAGGATTGAAACTCGATTCAGTCTGACAATATAGCCCAAATTCTTCCCATAAGAGACAATAGTAGTAAGAGTATGGGAGTCGGTGGCTATACAAATAGGTGTGGCCTCAGACATGAGGCTGTATACATTCTGGAGCATCTGCCACCTGCCCTGGAACCCTCGGGATGACTGACACTAGGCCTTGCTTTAAGACTCTACAGGACCCCCTCCAACCTAGGAAACCTGAGGCAAACAGGATTTAATAGTAGGAGAAAATACATTTTCTGGGTTTAGGCGCACTGCTCATTTGTAATTCTACATGTAAAGATTATTTCTGGTCACAAAAACATTTGCCTCCTTTTTAGAATTTAGTAAACATTCTGTAAATATTTTAAAAGCTGACTGTAGAGCTTGAGATATTATGATTAGGATAAATCATAATTTCTCCCATCTTATAAAAAGCAAGTCCTGTCATCTTTTATTAACCAAGAAATTAAATTTTCCTGACCTCAAACTCTGCATATAAAAAGCAAAGTCCTCGTTTTAGCTTCAAAATGGGCTCTAGCCCAGTAATCATACACACAAGAAAATTCATAACACAATAAATGCCTCTACGTCAAAGGAGCAGTAGAGACAGTTAATACAAGAGTTCACAGGAAAGTGAGGTGAGGTGGTCAGTGAATATTCCCCAGAAAAAGAAAAACTTAGTTAGGTGGGAAGAGTCAAAAACAGGGAAAGAAATTCCAGATAGAGAGAAGGGTACAGAACCAAGACAATGAAATGGCACAAGTCCTAATGAGCTAGCATGGAAGTTCATTTTGAAAGGTGAAATTGGAGAGGAAGTCTAAGAACAAAACCACAGAGCCACTGAACATCAGGCTTCATTTCAACCTTATTTTGTAGGCAATAGGGAGCCACTAAATGTTTCTGAGTAGAGTAATATAATTAAACAGTAATTTTAAAAGATATTAAAGGCAATGTACTACAGACTGAATGTTTATGTACCTACCTATGCAAATACTCTGAACTCCCTTGCCCTCTGAATTTCTGTTTTACTTAACTGGCAAAAGTTATAAACCCTGGGTGATCCTTATTATCACTTTTCTCCATCTGACCTGAGGAATGAAGCACTGCTGAAGAAAATCATACCTATTGGACAGACATATCACCTAGGCCCTCCAGACTGCCTGACAGTCTTATTTCTCTTCTATTCTGTGTTAGAACTATTTCAGAAAATTTCCACTCTCCTCTAACCTCTCATATGCCCCCATACTTCCTCCAACTCTCAGTAGATGACCTTGCCCCCTACTTCACTGAGAAAACAGAAGCCACCAGATGGAAACATGCTGTTCACCTACCACAGCTAGTACACATATATTCTCTAGCTCCCCCTCTCCCTACAACCCCTGTGAGATTACAGCAAGTATTCTTCCTCCCAGAGAATCCCTGTTTTGAATTCTCTTTCTCCAGCCTTTTAAGGAATCACAAGTCAAGTTATGATCCCATTTCATTTCTTTAGCTACTCATTAGAAGCCAAATCAACCTAATTTCCATTTGTATCACTTCAGTGAAATGGCTTTTACAGAGTGCCCCAAAGTGTTCCAATGGGCATTTGGTTTTCTATTCTAACTCTCTCAGCAATATTTGTTAACGTTGACACCTCTTCATTGTTGGAACTCCCTCTTCCTTGGCAGTCTCTAGTTTTACTCTTATCTCACGGGTCACTACTTTTCACTCGCCTCCTCCCCAACTACCTTTTAAAGGTTAGTTTATTAATGCTAAGATCTAAGCCCACTTCTCTTTTCACTGTACATATTCTTCCTAGGCAATCTTATCCACATCTATTTCCTCATTTACCATCTACATACCCATGTTTCTCAAATGTATGTCTAATACAAATAGTTAAGTTCTAGATCCTGCTGTCCAACAGCCTACTCAACATTACTATTTAGATATTTAAAAAAAATATATCTCAAATTCAAGGTGTCCAAAATTTTGATAGCTTTCCTCCTTTCCCCCAAACCCTGACCTTCTTCCAGTACTCCTTATCTCAGAAAATGGCAGAAGCACTTATCCAATCACATAAGCCCCAGGATCATTCTTTTAGTTGTTGTGTTAATCTTCACCTGAGGATATTTTTTCAATGATATTTAGATAGAGTGGAAGGGAGGGAAAAAGAGAAACATGGAAGGGAGAGAGAGACACATCAATTAGTTGCCTCCTGCACAACTCCCACCAGGGCCAGGAATCAAACCTGCAACCCAGGTACATACCCTTGACCAGGAATCAAACCTAAGACCCTTCAGTCCACAGGCCAATGCTCTAATCACTGAGCAACCAGCCAGGGAACTGGGGATCATTCTTGATACCCTCTACCCTCAAGTTCTGCTAATTCTACTTGAAAACAGATCTCAGATCTCCCACTTCTCCCACCTTCACTACTGTCATTCCTTATGTGGTGGCTACAATGGCCTGTACCAAGATTTCTCCACAGTACAACCAGAGCACTCTTCTGAAATGTAAATCTGATCATTGTCACTCACCTGCATACATCTTTTAAATCCCTCCCCACCCCCCCAGTGAATGTAAACTAAAATCCAAACTCCTGGATTTAAAGCCCTCCATCATCTGGTCCCCATCTCTCTCCCTCTTACCTCCAGACAGGTTTTTTATCTAGTTTTTCAATAGCACCATACTTCTTTCCACACCAGGGCCTTAGTGAGCACTGTTTTTGGACAACCCCTTCTACCTACTTAATTCCTGTTACTCCTTTTAGAATTGGGTTTACCTCAAGCATTCCTCCCCTCCCTGAACATTCCTTCATTCTTATTCAAGTCCCCCTGCCACAGTTCTTGGCTCCCTGCATTTTTTCTTTAATGCTTATAAAATGTGTATTCTATAATAGTATAATTAGTGAACATTTCTCTCTACCATTAAACTGCAGTCTCCATAAGGGCAAGATCCTGTCTGTTTTGCTTACCATTGTATTTCTAAAGCCTAGCCCAATGCCTCACAAATAGTAGACACTCAATAAATTTGCTTAATGAATAGTGGGACAATTAAACAGTAAAAAAAAAATTTTTAAGTGAAAGAACCTAGTAATAACCACAGAAAAAGTGCTCAATAAATGTAATTTCAACATTAATTGCAACCTCCACGAATGTATGAATGAATGGCTCTTTAACCCTCAAAAAATTATCTGCCATTTTCAGAAAAGAGTTAATCCAAATACATAACCAAATAGATGAACTCTAGGATGGAGTGGTCATATCCCTAAGATGTTTCTGTTTTTTGTTATAGTAAGTCCTCACATAATATTATTGATAGGTTCTGGTTTTGCAACCTGAAGCCAAATGATATATAATAAAAACAGTTTTACCATAAGCTAACTGATATAAAAAAGAGTTAAATTCCTATGGCATCTCATAAATGTTATTATAAAACAGTGCTGAATATAACTTTGTTCAAGGGCTTGCTGTACTTTCTTCATATTTATTTCCAAACCCCTAAAATTCCTACTTCCACAATGGTGGCAGCAATAGCTGGGGGGGGGGGGGGGGGACTACAATAGAGTGTATGGTAGTCCAAGTCAGGAGGAACTACATGTAAAATATTCTGCAATTAGTCCCCTGGAAGAGATAATTGATGCAAAGCAAAATCCTAGTATTTGAAAAGGCATCCTCAAGAATTACTTCTAGAGCTTCCAATTCATGATGATAATCTAAAAGATCAATGCTCATACAAGACTATTTTTCTCAACAGGGTCCTCTTAAAATACAGGGAAGAGAATGAAAAGAGGAGACGAAATAGAGATTTACTGAAGCACCAATTGGGAAAAGGTGGTTTGGGTCACACTGCACCCTATTCCAATGCAGCTGAGTATTAACAGCAACACTTGCTCCTAGGCTAAGCAATCTGGCAAGGAAGAGCTAAGGCTTCCCAGTGAGTGTGTGTGTGTGGGGGGGGGAGATTCTTCCTAGAGTGGGCCTCAACAATACTGGCATTTGTAACAAGATCAGATAGCCTGCCCACTCCCTAAAAACCCTAAAATGAAGCCTGCTAGCTGGCATATCATATACCTAAAGAGTTTGCTAGATCAGCCTTTTCATTCATGGGTAACCCACATAGCCATCTATATCAATCACTAGTCCTCATGTTTAGATATGATTAGATAACTAGGCTTTTGTTGAAAAGGAAGACGAAGATAAACAACATTATTAATCTTGGACAAAGGGACAATACAAAATACTAATTAATATTCTCAGGAGGCTTCCTAAAGATACTGCAGAAATAAAATAAAAGCAGGTTGTATTAAAAATAGCAATTGAAGTCTGGCCAGTGTGGCTCAGTGGTTGAGCATCGACCCATGCACCAAGACGTCGCAGGTTCAATTCTGGGTCAGGACACAGGCCCCGGTTGTGGGCCTGATCCCCAGTGGGGGGCATGCAGGAGGTAGCCAATTGATGTTCTCTCTCATGGGTGTTTCTATCTCTCTCTCCCTCTCACTTTCTCTCTCTCTAAAATCAACAAAAGAAAAAAAAAATTTTTTTTAAACAAAAGTAGCAATTGAAGAACAATGCAAAATTTACAGAATTACAGGTCTTTTGTAAGTTTAATAGAAGTTAAAAAGGAGTTAATGGTAATTAAAGCTATAATGGCCAATATAAAAAAAAACAACAACAAAAAAAACCTCCAGCAACACCAGACAATGAATTAAGGAAATCCTCCAAAACTTAGAATATAAACAAATAAATAGAAACCATGAGAGAAAAGTTAACTGACTCTAAGAAGTAGTATCTAAAATGTGAGTTCTGTAGAATGCAATCCACGGGATTCCCAAAGTGATCTGCTGGGATCCAGAAAAAAAGTTCCAAAGCTTCTAGATAAAGGTTTTTGTTTTTGTTTGAATTTTTATTTTTTGTATCTAGTCCTTCAGATTATATTAGCGTCAATTTATAATGTAAATAATCAATTAGTACAGAGGTACATTTATAATTTTTTTTAAGTGTGCATATACACCTACTGTGGTACATGCATACTTCTGCAACAGATAACAGGTATGTATCATATTCTGGAAATAATGAACAACCTAAAAAAAAACAATATTCATATAACAGATGTCTAAAGAGAGAAGGAAAAAAAACATGAAAAAAAGAAAAAGAACTAAAAGAAGAAAAATTTCCCAGAACTGAAGAAAAAAAATCTTTTTAACAGCAAGGCCCAATGAGTGTCAGGCCAGAGGAGCAGGGGTTAGGGGTGGAGGGTAAAGAGTGGGAAAGGGAAAAGACGCACACCTGGACAAAGCCTTGAGAATTTTAAGATAAGGCCAATATCCTAAAAGGTTCCATGAAGGAAAAATAGGATACCTACAAACACAAAAATCAGATTGTCCTAAGAGCTTGTATTAGTAACAAAAGATGATTTAGAAATGTAACAATACCTTCACAGTCCTGAAGGAAATGGATTGTGAACAGACTTCCATATTCAGCCAAACCAAAAATCAAACATGAATCAATTAAGATTTTTCTCCTTGAAATCATCTATTCTCTCTCATCTACCATTTCTTGTCATCTGTACATTATTCCCTAATATGTAATCCTTTTTTTCAACAATTTTACAGAAATATTTATTGCACCTAAATAAATGTTGGTCACTGGTCTTCTTACATGTCTACCAACATGTATTTAGGTATACATGTCAAAAAATGTTTATGTTCCCATCTGTTAAAGAATAGGAAATTAAATATACTTATTCATAAAAGACAGAGGAACTACAGCAAAAGACAAATTCCAGGGCTTACGGTTTTTAACCTTTCACATCTCTGCTTCTGCAGGTAGCTAAGCTGTGCTATCAACCTAAGATGCCATTTTAAGCCACAACACTATGGAGTCCATAGTAACTTTAGAAACAATTTAGCCCAACAGCATCCAGTTGAATAAACAAATATCAGTTATTGATCAGTTTATTTTTTAAATGAATTTTTAAAGTTTTTCCTACAGACAGTGCTTCAATAAAGCATACCATTTTCTGCAGTCTTTTCTGTTTTTATTTAAAGAAAATCAGATGTTTCCCCAGTAAATACTGAGTAGAAATAAAAGGGTTGTATGGAACTTTAGTGTCGAGGGCTGTAAATTTACTCAGAAATTAAAGTTTCATGAAATTAGAAATAACGTATTCAACTATTCTAATTGACAAAACTGTAACTATTGTATGCCATCCAGTTCTCAATTTAAACTCAAGTTAAGTTTCATGAAATAAATGAATTTTATTCTTTATAAATACTACAAATGACCTAAACTATTTAAAACATTCTGAAAAAATTCAGGACAGGTGTTTGGAGGTTGAGTTAATTCGGGAAAACCTAGTGTGTTTTTTTTTAACCTTGTTTAAAGTATATTACTTCTTATCAAATGCCTGCAACAATGAGTTTACTCCGAAGGTACCTAAGGATATTAAAATACAACTACACGTCAAGATAAAGTCATTTTAATCTCATTAAAAGGCATACAGTAACCCACGGAAATGAAAAGACTTCTACGACTTTGTACTTAGGATTAAACCAGGCCAGGGCAACAATAAGTGTGATTAGAAAGGGAGTGCCACATGTGCCAAGTCTCTTTCCCTAAACTCTGGGGGGAGTGGGGGGTGCTATTAAGAGGGTATCTCTAATCACCATCTCTGACTGGGTATGCGTCACTGCTCCAGACCTGACTCCAAAATCACGTTCACCCAGCGGACTAGGGAAAAGAGGGACAGTCCCCTTCACCAGGGAGAAGAGCGAAAGTACCTGCAGGAGCAACGCACGCCCGGCGTGGAGACAGAAGAGAGAGTTAAGGGAGACGCGGAAAAGGTGACACAAAGATAGAACCAAAGACCGGGGAGGGAGCGGGCAAAAACAGAAGCAATCGGAGACAGAGATAACAGCGAGGTCAGAAGGGTGAAAAGGGCAGGGGCAATAGAGACAGGCCAAGACTGAAAGGCGCCCAGAATCTTCCAGTGGCACAGGAACTGGGACAAGGGCAGTGCTGGAGCTGGCACCTCAGGTAAGTCCAGTCAGGGCTCCTCTCCCTCTGGCTCTTCAATGTCCCGGGATCCTCCCGCCGCCCTCCGTCTGTACTGTTATCTGCACACTCTGTTAGTAGTGATGGGGCAAACCCGCTTTCTGGAGGCCCCAGAAATAACGGGGCCAGGTCGGAGCCTGCACTTACCAGGCCACGGCGGCCCGGGGTAGACGCCACATCCCTCCAGCGAGGAGGTCACACGGGCGCTGAGACGGCCACACGGGAGCCGGGTGTCAGTCCCAGTCCGGCGCCGGCTCCAGGAATGACCCAGGAAAAGGCCGTGGGCAACAAGGACACAGAGAAGCCACTGCGGCCCTCCCAATGGCGCATGGACTTCCGCGAGAGCCCGCCCGGCACCCGTACTCAGTCCGTCAGGCAAACACCACCCCACCCCATCGAGGAGAGCAGCACAAATGGTCCGAGGAGGACTGGCGCATGCGCTCGGAGCCCAGCCAAATCTTTCCCTCCCCCAACCAGCCCCGCCCTCCTCGTTTCAGGGGGGAATTCTGAGCCTCGCAGCTTGGAGACCGAGTGGAGGAGGGATGGAGAGTTGGCCGGGGACCGACGAAGGCGAGGGCTGGGGGTCGGATCGACCAATTCTCCCTGGTTGGTACCAAGTTAAGAAAATGTAGGCATTGCGAGAACACGGAGAATCCTACAGAGGACAAAATGAGGACAATAATAGTGTAATAAAACCAACCGTTGCTCCTTTGCCCCTTGCTTTCCCTCGGCGTCTTTGATTACTGAACATTTTCGTAGACTCAGAACGGTCTCGGAGAGGCCGGAGGAGGGGTCGCAGCCCTATCTGAGGTCGTATCGGAAAGGGCTGAGATCTATTAGGCACTGATGGGTTTGGAATGAGCTTGTGCAGTTTATAAAAGCGTCAGAAGTGATTTTGTCCGGTCATTCTTGACCTGGCATTCATGTGGCTTTTAATCTCACCAACTTGTTGAAAAGGCCCGGGTCAGCGCCTCCCTGGTGGTCTCAGCTCGGAACGGGGTGCTCAGCGCTCTCCTCCGGCGGCTGCTTTCCTCCCTTTCAGATCACAGCATTCTCCTTTTTCTCCAGGAGCTGCTGCTCCCCACTCTCCTTTGCTGGTTCCACCTCCTCTCCCAATTTCTCAGTGTTGGAGGGACCCAGATCTTGAGCCCCTTCCCCTTTCTTCATTCTTTCATAAGTAACCTAAGTCAGTTCTGTGGTTTTAAATACCCTTTGTTCCCTTTTGCAACTCTTATCATTTTATGTTTTATGAGGAAACGGGGGCCAATAAAAGGAATGTGGCCTGTGAAAGATCATGAAGGAATTTAGTGACATAGCCAAAATCAAAGGGTCCTGTGTCCCTGCTTCACTTCAAGGGCACACTCCCACCCCGCCCCCAAAGCTTAAAACAATTTCTTTTCAGGTCAGAATCCTAGTTAGTATCCACCCATTCACAATAACACCCCGTATAGACTCAGCCATAGGTAGCAAAATTCCCAAACGCAGGACCCTGGGAATTTACTTTATTGTGTTTATTGTGGTGACTGTTTTAATGACAGATCCAGATAGGAACTTATTATAATGATCTATGCAAATTGTAGATCTTTCCAGGATTGTAGAGTTGCACAAAAATTTCTTTGTTCCTGTTACTAGCTAGTTGTTTAAAAAAAGAAAAGGAATAAGAGAAACCAAGTAATAGCAACCCCTTTCATATAGGGGTCATCTTTACATTATACAAAGCCCTTTTATTGCGTTTATACTTCTAGGCATCTATCCTACTGAAACACTCCCACATTTGTGCAAAGATGTATGCATGATGTTTATTTCTTCATTGCATAAAATAGTAGAAGATTGGAATCAACATAGTTAAAAGATCAACTGAAGCAAATTAAAAATTTTAAGAGTTTATTTTACAAAAAGTTGATCTGAGTCAGGTAGTGCCAAACTGCAAGTGTTTTGGAGTGGATCACCAACAGGAGCTAGGGGAAAGACTTCTCTAGGGACAAGGAAGTAAAGCAAGAAAATTATTTGATTGGCTATTGTTTAAGTGGTTGCCTTATTTGGGAAAGTCTAGTTGGCTGTTTGTGATTGGTTGTCTCAGGTTTTGATTTATTAACTTTAAAGCATTTACAGACTTAGGTTTTGTGTTTTGTTTTGCTTTATAGACTGACAAGGCATTAGAACCATCTCAGTCTGACAGCCCCTTTGTTTAATTAATTTAACAACATAAATGTCCATAGGTAAAAGCTAGTTAAATAAATTATATTCACACTAGGCAAGAAAGTCTATGCATTAAGACCTCTTTGTCCTGATAAGGAACAATATCTAATATATAGTATTGCTGAGGAAAAAAGGGCAGAATATTAGTAATCAAACTGCCATCATTGATCAAAACTCATCTCTCAGACCTGTTTTGCTTGGCTTGTGTTGGCCTATTCAGTATTTTTAAAATAATATTGGATATGTTGCCAACATTTAAAAAACAGAATTCCACATTTTAAAAAATTCTGGTTTCTCTTAAAGTGTCAGGTCTGACAACATCAAACTTACATGCAAAAAAGAAAAAATCAGGTAAAACAAGAAGCAAATAGTAGCTCTTTCCTTCAGACATGCATGTCCTCTTCAGGGTTTCACACCCCTTCCTCAAGTCTTCCTGAAATTGAAGAGGACATCTGTTGCCATGTATCACAAAACTTGTGCTTTTATTTTCTCTAGTAAAATAAGAGGAAAGGAACCACTACTTATTTTATAACTTCTTTTATATTAAAAGTGAAAAAAATGAAAGATTGAGAGAGTCAGTTGTTTCCAAAACAAGAAAAAAGAGCATTTTTCAGAAGAACGTAACTATGCTAATAAATTATGTGGTATTAAAAGAATACAATTTAAGATGGTATTATACAACAAATACACGTGCATTATTCACCTCACATGCTTGGCCCAGGAAAGTATTTTGAATTGATGCACCCTAGTGAATACAGTGGGATATTGTGATTTATAATAAGAAATATGTATTTGGTCTTAGTCCCCTCTCCTGGCTCACAGCTCCCCAAACCCTTAATATTTCATAAGTGACTAGAACAATAGGGATATCTTTTATCATAACAATTGCTTTTTGTCCTCTTGACATGTCTCCAAAGTGATAAATATGAAAGAAGTGTCTTGTTATTCATAATGAGTCCCTTTCAACATCATCTGAGTTTATGTAATGAGGCAACTTTTGGAAACCCCCTAATGATGGGAGCTAGTTACCAGGGCAACCAATCAACTGATTAAATGATTGGATCTTTCACCCTCACCCTCAACTCTGAGGAGGTTGAGTAAATCATCAGTGGCCAATTATTTAATCAATTATGCTTAATTAATGAATCCTCCATAAAATCCCAAAAGGACACAGTTCACAGAGCCACCACGTTGGTGAACAAGAATGCATCCATGTGCTGATAGGATTGTGCAGCCAAACTCTAAGGGGATAGAAGTTCCTATGCTTGATACCCTCTGGAACTTGCCCAAGTTTGTCTTCATCTGGCTGTTCATTCATATCATTTAATATCCTTTGTAATAAACTGATAACCTAGTGAATACACTGAGTTTTGTGCGCCACTCATAAATTAATCAAACCTGAGGAGGGGGTCATGGGAACCTCTGATTTATAGACAGTCAGTCAGAAATAGGTAAATAGCCCTGGCCGGTTTGGCTCAGCGGTTAGAGCGTTGGCCTGCGGTCCTGAGAGACCCGGGTTCAGTTCCCGCTAAGGGCATGTACCTCGGTTGCAGTTTGTCCCCGGTTCTGGTCAGTCGTGCGGGTGGCAGCCACTCGATGTGTTCCTTTCGCATCGATGTTTCTCTCTCTCTCTGTTCCTCTCTCCCCCTCCTACTCTACCTGAACAACAACAACAACAACAAAAATGGAAGAATGTCCTCGGGTGAGGATTAAAAAAAAAAAAAGAAAGAAAGAAATAGGTAAATACCTTGACTTGTGATAGAAACCTGAAGTGAGAGAGGGGGGCCAGTCTTGGGGGACTGAGCCCTTAACCTGTGGGGTCTGAGGCTAATTCCACATAGACAGTGTTAGGATTGAGTTGAATTGTAGGACACCCAGCTGGTCTCTGCAGGATCTGAGAATTGGTTGGCGGGAGGGAATTTATCCCCTCAGCCCGCTCCCAGCACACTTGGTGAGCAGAAGAATCAGAAGTGAGTACAATATTCAGAGAGTATTGAAAGTAGACACACAGGAAGAATGATTTTCCTTTATAAGTAGGATCTGGGGAAGAACTTGAAGATAGTGGATCATGAGTGGAGGAAAAACTTACTTGCAAACCCTTTTTTACTCTGAATTTGTTAAAATGGCTTTTATTTACTTAAAGAAATGGATGTTGAAAATATTTTTCTGGCCCAGCAGTCATGAAATAATTTTACTATTTTAAACTTAATTCGCATGTTCAGCTGGTAATGGAAAAATCTAGTAGTTAAATCTCTTAAAACATTACTTTTACTTGCAAAGAGACACTTTTCAGAGTTTTCAATAAAGCAGGTATCATCAGAAAGGGAGATAGTGGAAGATGTTAGTAGAAACCAAAATATTTACTTTTGAAAAAGTTTTATATTAAAATTTTTACAATAAAAGTTTTTGCAAAGTTCCCCCTGAGAGGTGCCTAAGTTCCTTGACACTGCACCCTTCCTCTGTGGTTTACTGGGGAGGGAAACTAGCTAAGTCACACATATTTGCACAATCATTATTATCAAATTCTCCCGACCACTCAGAAAAGCATGTCATAATCCTCGCCAACAAACATTTTTACACCATTTCCTTTGAATTCTGCTCTGGGAATATAAGAAAAGAGTAAAACCCAGTTCCTGCTTTCACATAAACATGGTCTGGTTAGGAAGACAGTCATGGGTATAAAAAGACAAACAGTGTGAAGGAGTACATGCTGAGGACCAAGTAAGAGATAGCAGTTCTGTTACAGGGCAGAACCATAGAATAATCAAGTGAGTTTAAGAAATATAATTCTGGCCTGGCTGGTGTGGCTCAGTGGTTGAGCATCAACCCATGCACCAAGAGGTCGCCAGTTCAATTCCTGGTCAGGGCACATGCCCAGGTTGCGGGCCAAATCCCCAATAAGGGATGTGCAGGAGGCGGCCATTCGATGTTCTCTCTCATTAATGTCTCTCTCTCCCTCTCCCTTCTCTCTCTAAAATCAACAAAGAAAAAATTT